GCTCAGCCTCAATCGTGTAACATAACTCGGTGCTGATAAAACAAGTCATCAAAACCAAACCCTGTTATGCAAAGTGTTGAGTTAGTTTGGGGATGTCTACACAAAGTCATAAACCTGGACACTTCAGACCATTTCTATTTTTAACTGTATTTCCTATTCTTCATCCAAATGTTTGACATCGCGGACACAGAGTCTAAGATTTTGATCAGGAATTAAAATATCTGAAAACGTATCCAGAGATTTTTTTTTTTAAAACCCCTTTATGGGAATTTAGTTTGGGTGCATTCTGGCCCTTCCTGGAATGGTAGACCTAGAAGAGGCAAGTTAAAAAAGCAGAGGGTTATGGCCTCACGCAGTTTAACAATATGCAAATTTTTGAATATTCTAGGTGTCTTTGGAAAAATTCCCAGAACAATAATACAGTATAGAAATAAAACAACATTTGATATGTTTGGTAGAAATGTATAGATGCCTAGTTTTGAACTTTAAGTTCTCCAGAGGTTTTCTTTGTCGGGGCTTCTGAAAAAAGATCCACTCATACCCATTTTGAGACCCAAGAACGGTCAGCACACTTCAGGGTGCCTGATATTGCTCTACTGAATGAGGCCAAAATGCAGTGGCTTTTATGAGAAATACTGGCAGGTACCTGGAATCAAATTTAGACTCTTGGGTTTTATGTTGCAACTAGGGAGGCTCTGGCAGGCCAGTTTCAGTTTTGTTAGTTATGCTGTTGGCTTTGATCTGATTTAAATGTTTGAGGAATGAACCAAAATGCAACTAACATTCACGGAAACTGTTGAGATAGCCAGAACGTAGTATCAGAGGAATTTCGGGAGCGTGGTAAATAGGGAGTTCAGAATGATCATCATCAGTGTGTTGTGGTATTCTCCTATTTTCCTCCATGGATTAAAAGAGTTTGTTCTTTCTTAAAACAAATGTAGCACATAATGTATCTTAAAGCAATCAGCACATAGGCCAGTGATTTCAGAGACAGAACACACTCGTAACACAAACAGCTCTTCCACATTTCAAGAATACAGTGATGGGGACTGGTACACATGAGACTTTTTTTTTTTTTTTTTTTTTTTTAAACTTCATAGAATGTGAGCTCAGACTTCAATCACTTCCTTGTCTGGCAATGAACAAAACCAAAAGGGCTCCAGCCTGAATAATCAAATGCACAGGAGGGACCAGACGCACCAGTTACCAATGAGTCACAAGGACAGACAGAAAACTTAGTAGATCTTGATAACCAGGAATTATGGTGCTTTTTAAAATGTGTACTTGATACAATGTGTGTCAGGAGTGTAGCTGAGCAAGCAATGTCAGTGTGTTAGACAAATGGAGTTCTTGTCCAAGTGGCCGTGTGGGATCTCATCTGCACCTTGATCTAGACCAGTGGTCAGCAAACTGTGGCTCGAGAGCCACATGTGGCTCTTTGGCCCCTTGAGTTTTTAGCAAAGGCCAGCTTAAGAATACCCTAATTAAGTTAATAACAATGTACCTATCTATATAGTTCAAGTTTAAAAAATTTGGCTCTCAAAAGAAATTTCAATCGTGGTACTGTTGATATTTGGCTCTGTGGACTAATGAGTTTGCCGACCACTGATCTAGACTGTCCGAATAGCACTAGGTCTTCTTGAAGCCTCATCTAAAAGTCTTCAAGAAAAATAACGTGGAACTCAGTGCAAGATGTCTTCGTTTACATTGTGTGCAATGACAGTGGTCTGAATGTAAGTGGCCTGGGGAGGACTTTGCCGTTTGATGGGATCTTATAGGACATCCATTCCTACCACCCACTGGATGTAGGAATCGACGCTGCCCATGGCCCTGACTGGTACTCAGGAATGATGATAATCTGTTGTCCCCGGCCAAAGACCGTGGTTGGGCAGCCTGAGTAGGTTTTGATGTCGAGTTATTAATTTAGAGTAGCAAGGACTGAAAAGATCTAGTAAAACTACTTTGGAAGGAGGGTCCAGTTTCTCTCTGTAGAAAAATAAAAACAAAATGAGCCAATTCTAGAGATAAAAGTCCTCTATAGGAAGAACTAAAGCTAACAAGTGAAACCAGTTTCAAAAACTAGTTTCAAAACTAAAGACATTTATTCATAGATGTCATTAAGATGATAAAAAGCACAATGATCTCTGTCAAAAAAAAATTTAAAGCAAACCAAAAAGTTATCATTTGTTATGAGCCACAAGAACAGCATTCTGGAATATTCTGCATGGCCTAAGCACCAGTATATCAGGGATAGGATCTGTCCTGATGGAGGAGAATGTGTTTTTGAAGATAAAAGCCTCAGGGAAATTTTTAGATATCTTTTAAGGAGCACAGATTTGTGGGTGTGGCGGGGCACTCTGAAATTTGGTTTTGCCTTGTACTCAGTGTAAACTACTTGCACAAAAATATAAAAGGCATGGCTTGATGTTTCACGTCTGTGTTTTATTGTTGTTGGCACCAGAAAAAGCTCATGTTCTATGTTATGTCACTGTACATACTGTAAACAAGACTTCATTAATATTGTTTTCTTATGAGTTTTTGTTTCAATGAATCTAGATTTTAAAAAATACATTCACAAACTACCTTATGTTTAAACACAATGATTCCCTTTTATTTCTTAACTGTACCCCAAATCCCACAATAAAAAAATCATTTAAAGCTGTGTGTTTCAAACTTTCACTTAGAAATAAAAACAGAACATAACATAAAAACAGAAATCAGTTTGCAACATAATTTAAAGAAGCTTCTGGCTTAAAATACCACAGCAGCAATATAAAGAGCTGGTGGCAATCACATTTGGAGATGAGACCCAAATCAAATATATTTTGTCCACATTGGCGTCCAATTATAATGGTTGCTAAATTCAATCAAAAAAGTTTATTGCTGAATTTTTTGCATGGAATTTGAAAAGACAGTATCATTCAGCAGCAGAATCACAGCAGTAAAAATGAGAACAGGAGGATTTCATTGCTTTTGAGAGCTAAGGAGACCATGATGAGGACATCTTGATGATCATCTAAAGATAATCCTCAATTCCATTCCTGTGTATTATCTACTAAAATAAATGCAAATGACAACCACCTTTACGGGAGGGGGGCGCATAATCACCTACTTCAGGAATGAGAATAACTTCCCCTTCTTCCCCTCTTCCCCAAACACCAGATTGAAATGGCTCCATTTTCCTAATGTGTATTTCGTTCTCATTAATAGTACATCCGCTGCTCATGTATTTAGGCAAAATCAGTAGGATCACAGATTTTAAAAATCTGTTAATAGTAGTTATTTTTTTTCCAGGAACAAGCCACATTCATTTGTTGTTGATTTTTTTTTTTTTTTAATTTTCAAGAATAACAATTTGGTCAACTACTGTTTTGTTGAAAAAATATTAAATACACCTGAGATTGCCAGTTGAGCTCTCTATATGTCTCCTGGAGATAACACTGCTGTGATGAACAGTGAAACAAAACGAACAAAACGAGGTAGGTTAAAACAGGAAGCGCAACACAGATATTGTTTTGCAACACCTCGGTACCACAGGTGGCCATGCTTGTAGCTTTGGAAAAAAAAAAAAAATCCCAGACAGTCACACAAAAGTTCAAATCATCTGAGTAAGAGTTTATAAGGACACAAGTCAACCTGAACTAAATATACACATATCTCTGCACAAATGTTGCTTACCATATGTTGGGTAATTTGGAGGAAGGTAAAATGATTAGGGTCTCAGAGTTTTGGCCAAAGCCTTGCTTTCACGTTCGGTAAAATCTGAACCAAGGCTGTCTACTGCCTCAGGCAGGCATAGTAGTCTCGTCCCTTCTCTCACCAACCCAAGAGAACACAGGCAGCTCAGAAACATTTATTCTTTTTTTCAGTCACAGTTTTCATTTTGAGAAAGTGGCATTGTCAGGAGAGAGCTGGGAATGACTGGAGCCTGGATGTCATTCACTGACCAATCAGAACTCAACAAAGTCTCATTCTTAATGAAGCTCAAACTGAGTGATCTCTTAGCCGGGAGGCCTTGTACATTTAAAAAAAAGATTGTGTGTGTATTTTATTTTTTATTTTTTAGCTTGTTTCCCAGAAGCTCTTTCTGTTTGACCTCATCTGTCACCCCATCTTTTGCCCTGACTTGTTGCATAATAGCTGAGGGAAAATTGTGTTATGGGATCCCCCAATCACTAGAGCCAACTCAACTCAATGACACTACTATCCCATTCAACACACTCTGTGCTGTACAAGGCCATATAAAAATAGGGCCTGTCAGACTCACAAAAATGGCAGTTGATTTTATTAGTGTAAGGCTAGTAGTTTAGCCATTTAAAATCTATTTCCCCAAAGAGGGGAAAACTAGCACAGTATTTTTCTTCTCTTAAAAATTCATTAGTCAGTTGCTACCAAAAAGCAACCTTTTTGGGTTGGTGAAGGCAAAAGAGTTCTAAAATCACCCCACTGTGCAGTTATGGCCTTCAGTGTGAGGAGATAAGGTACATTTATTGTGCTGTCTCTCACCATTTGAAATTGGAAATTTTACAACATATGTATATTTAAATCTAGCAGGCAGACAGAATTAAAATCAGACTAATTTTCTCAGTATGCATTCCCTCCCCATTCTTACAAAGTAAGGGGGTAAAGAAAAAAAGGTTTAACAAAAAACCAAAACAAAACTCAGAATCCACCATAACACAGCTTAATCGTAAGAGCACACAATATTTGTTTCTATCCCTAACGCCGAAGGGCACACGGTCCATCTTTGTCCACAGACAATGCAGCATTCTTGGGGATCTCCTGGAAATTCCTGCCACCTTTTTCTCTCCTTCTCAATCAGGCTGCAACATTGAAAGATGGACTGTATTGGGACGAGTGGAGGGAGAGGAAAAGGGGAAAGCGATATGTTCAACCAAGCCTTCTGATTCTGCCTCTAGACTGGCATAAGTCCACATGAGTTATGTTCTTTTTTTAAATTAGAAATAACGCCATGAAGATAAGTGCCAAGTGCTCTTCTGTTACCAGTTCATCATGGAATTTCTGTTGAGGGTCATGAAAAACACTTGGCTACTTCCTCCAGATCGCACGGATGCAAAAAATACCTGTTTGAAATTAAAAAGAAGTTAGTTCAACTGCATGGTTTCTTCCCCTCTTTTCTTCCAACTGTCCATCCATTTTCTCTCACATGTCCTATCCTTGACATGCGTCTGTTCTTAAGACTCAACGGCTGGTGTTTATCATAAAATGTCTTTTAACATAGTGCATCCTCTGTAATGCATCCTTTGTAAACACTCCTGCCTGCCGTTATTACTGTGACTGCTATTTATTATCATTTATTGTGGTATTGACCTTCAGGGGCACACAAGGGGGTTTATCTTGACTTGTTAACTTCCCTTCCGGTGCTCACATTTTAAAAGGGAGTTTTGAACTAGGAGATAATATGCTGGGTTTCTGATCGAGGACACAATAAGCCCTTTGTTAATTTTTGGAAAGCCAGAGAGGTTCCCCTTCTCTCCCTTATAAGGTCAAGAAGGCAGACTTTAGGACTGAAGAGAATTCTCAAAGTCAAGAGGGAAATTTTGGGCCTACTGACTTTAATTCTCTATTTTTTAAATTAAAAAAAATTAAATGGTTGTGGTCAGATAGGGTCAGGTGTTCAATGCCTATTCATTTTGGCATCTCAAGACTTATCGCTTGATTTCTCTGCTGATGCAGGCATATCTCAGGCCAAAGGAGATAATGGCAAGTAGAACCACAGTCCATTAGGTCTGGGTCTGCTAAGTCATTTTATCAAACAACTGAGAGAAGTGAGCAAAATTTGGGTTCCTGCTCGCCTGAGCTTAATGTCAACGAACCACTGCCCTAGGAAAATAACATTCTGGGCTGTGGCCTAGCCCTTGAGTCAGCCAATACCAAACTCTGGTCCAAGGCATTTACTTTTGTCACTAGTATCAAGTCTCTGCTACTTCATTCCCACAACTTCTTCAGGAGAATGCTGTCTCTCCCAACAACTACTTCTTGAGAAGTTCTGTGGAAATGCTTATCATTTACCTAATCTAAGTAAAGCTACTGTTAGGGTCAATGAATCAAAATGTATTAAGTACAGAGGAGGGCCCATGGAAAAACAATGAAAAAAAGAAAGAGCTGTTGTCCTCTCCAGGTTGTGTGGGCTCTGGGCTCTAAACCTCTGGCTCCCAATAGGGGATTGGTCCCAGCCTGCTCCTGAAGCTGTACATGGCATGGGACAGCTTGTTGGAGTGGGGTCTTTAATTAATTAAGAGTGTGGAAGTCCAAGCCCAGATCACTCTTAGTCTTATAATTCCCAGACACTGGAGTTTTACTAAGGGGATGGGTCTGTTTTCTGACATACTCTGGGCAGGCCCTGGAACCATCCTTTGCCGCCCATAGCTGTGTTCACCAGACCACACCAGACCACACCAGGTCAGAGTAGTTGGCCAGGATTGAATCTAGTCTAGATCCATATACCAGGGTTAGATTAAGACCCCTTTGGCCTCTGGGTCAGTCAAGACATGTACATCTGTTTAACCCATCACATTCTTTTCTATAAAAAAAAAGCTGTTTTGGGGACAGCATTTCTAAGTTGATCAAGGTCACAAAGGATAAATTCACAAATGGAGTACAACTTAGTTACTAAAGCTTTGCATTAGTATATAGGGAGGGTGAGGGGGAAGCAGCAGTGCTGCAGAATACCCTTCCGAGGACTGAGCATGCCAGACGGACACCGCCACCTTCCCTGGGAGACAGGCCCCCTAGAACATTGCAGAAGAAACATGGCTGGAATGACACAGGACATGGCACTAGTTGAGTTTGTGATTATGCATTTCTTAAGGAATAGGCGACATTTTTTTTTTTACAAGTTTATATTTCTACATGTCCAAAGTTACACATTAAAAAGTGAATATAATGTGATGAGTTAGGTCCCGATAGTGATTTTGTGAAAAGTCTCAAAGTGGAATCTAAAGTTGACCCACTGTGAGATGATTAATGATGGGCCAACTTTTATAAATGCTTAGGAGAATTTGGGGTGTCTGCTGAATCACCATAGGGCCTTCAGGCCACAGAAGTTACTACCAGTTTACAAGAAATTTTTAGATATTTCTGTCTTTTTTTTTTTTTAAATATATATATAAAGAATATATTTTGAGGGTTCACATAAATCAAACCAAATAATGCCATTTCAAGATAATATTGATTGTTTAACACAGATGTGATTCAAATCAGTAAAAAGGAAAATGAAGGTTTCACAGGTACCTGGTGGTCTCTTAAAATGCAAACACTAATGCAAATGTTGAAACGGATTTACCTTATCATTTCTTTCACATAGAAACTTTAACCTTTGAGCTCGCTTATGCATAAATACTCCATCCAAATGTCCTGTTTCCACTGACCGGATCTCAATAGCTTTCTCGCCCCAGCCCATTATCTGATTGGAATGAATGTAGGCTGTCAAAAGGAATTTCCAAAACTGCATTAAAAACATTAGATGGGCAATAACTCACAGCATCTGTTCACATCTTAACCACAAAAATGACAAACGACTTGAGATAAACAGACAAAGCAAGTCTTACAAAGTGTTATTCACAGACTTTTTTTTTGTGTGTGTGTATATGTGGAATCAAATGGTTGTTTCACATTTCTTGATTTTCGTTTCATTTGGGGGGTGTAACTGCTGAAGGAGATAAGGAATGGTTAACCTACCCACGGACGTGGGCATTTCTCCCCATTGGAGCACCACATCCTTAGTTATCCGGCCATAGGTGTTCACATACACCCCCTCATCCTCATAGCAAACAAGCATTTCCATCCCATCTGTTTTAGGCAAGATGACAATGGCATGAGGAGTGATATTGCCCTGAATCTAGAAGACAAAGAAAGGTCAGGCATTATTCTTTTTAAAGACAAGGCAACATCTTGACTACTAATCATTAAGAATTGCAAAAATGAGGGTCCCCCCACCATTTTCATTCTAGAGACTGACACTTTGACTTGCTTAATTGAACCACCCACCTGTCACATACTCTGGTAAACACACCTAGGCACTTGGTGGAGAATCCAATTTACCTGGACCTGAAATAACAACAACTCTGGAGCACCTACTGTGTGCCAAACATGGGGCTCTTTACCGATATAATTTCTAGTCCTCAGAACAACTCCCCCTGGGAGATATCTTTGCTATAAATGAGGCAACTGCATTTCAGGAATTATCCAACTGGGTCAAAGCTGCACTGATATGTGGTGGTGGAATTGGGACTTGAGCACATGCCTTATTGATATTGAAAATCACGTTTTCTATCTACTTCCAAAAAAGACAAGGAGAAGCTGCATTTGATGGAGAAGAGCCTAATTGAGGTCAAAAGGTGGGACTGAAACAGATTCCCACCAAATAGGCTATGGGCAGATAGCACAGATTGTTAAACTGGATGCCTAGATAACTGATTAAAAAAATTAGTGGTTTGCTTAGAAAAAAATCTAAAGTTATCACTCATTACAAAAATATTAGTATTGAAATAAGTGTAGATTGACTTGTTCTAGGAGAAGAGATGTGGTGCTGCTGTGATCCCCAAGTTGGGGATGTTATGTAGTCCAATAGCTGCTTAGTGGGTAGGAATGGGAGGATCAACAATGACCATGGTGATGCCCCAGAACTCTGATCCTGGGATGGCGCTCTCTCTCTCTCTCTCTCTCTCTCTCTCTCTCTCTCTCTCTCTCTCTCTCACACACACACACACACACACACACACACACATGCACGCATGCACGCACGCACGCACGCACGCACACACAAGGCAAAGCTGTAATGCAGCAATGAATGACATGAATGTGTATATGTGTGTGTGTATGATATACTAAAACAACTTTTTTCCCCCTAATTATATTTCTTTGGAGTAAAAAGTCTTTAAACTCTCAAAATACAAATCAGCAACAAATTAGGCCTCAGATTTTCTTAATAGTTAGCCTTGGAATTATATGAAGAAACCACAATTTACACTAAGCCAATACCACTATGGAAAACCATGTGCAGCATTTGGGTGAAAAAGGTGAAGGGGTTACGAAGTACAAATTGGCAGGTATAAAACAGTCATGAGGATGTCAAGTACAGCATAGAGAATGTAGTTAATAATACTTTAATAACTCTGTGTGGTGCCAGGCAGGTACTGACTTTCTAGGGGATAACTTCGTAAGTTATTTAAATGTCTCACCACTATGCCGTACACCTGAAACTAAGATAATACTGAATGTCAATGTAATCGAAAAATAAAAAATAATTTAAAAATAAAATTAGGAGATGTGTTTTAGGCAATGTGTCAGCATAGTAATGTTAATACTATAATTTTCAGGGCCCTGTACCAGCTACTTTGAGTGTACTACCTCATTTAATGTGATGAAAACCATATAAGATAGGATCTTTTATCCCCATTTTTGAGTAGTGAAAGCTGAGGGTTGGAGAGACTGCCTAATGTGTCCATAACTGCAAAGTAAATACAGGCTAAGCCAGGGTGTCAGATTCCACTACATAAACTATGAAATTGAAAAGAGAAACAAAAATGGCAGAAAAAGGGCTATTGGCCTCCTCTTACGTGAAATGAACAAACCAATCTCTCTTTAAAACCTGAAAATAGGAACTAATCTATGGTACACCCGCTTAAAGAACAGAATTTATGCTCTTGAAGGAAAAACACCATATGTATTTTAATCTGAAGTTCAATGAGACAACCTATCCAGTAAATGGCAAAGAACCGCTATTATGTGTTACTCAGTTTGAAGGAGTCATAAACATTAAATTTACTTGTTTGATTTATTAAAAGCATTGTCTATTTAGTGAAGATCAAAAGTCCATCCGCTTTATTGACCAGTAAAGGCATGACTTCTATTAAAAATGTACAACATTTCTATGTGCAGGTTGTTGCACAGAGAACCATGACAGTAGGCTTCCAGAAACTTACATGAGATGGTATGTAGATATCATAAGAGTTTCCTGAATCAACATCAATTACATGGAAGCCAGTGTGTGAACCGAAAATAACCTTTAATCTTTGACCTTCTTCTACTGTGAGATCTACAAGCAGTGGCTTGTGCTGGAGATCTGAAAAAGACTTTAAAAATCACACCATGAGTGTACCCATCATCCCAACAGGTTATCTTAATATTTTTTTCCTTTAGCCATTGCCTGGTGAAATTTAATACCTAACTTTCTTAAACAGAAACTTCTCTTTCCATTTAAATTTCTCTTTCCATTTAAAATCTATTCATATTCTGGATCTAGGAAGAAGGGTCTAGCATCCATTTGTGACCCTTTCACCAACCCTTGTCCCCCAGGGAAGAGAAGTAGTTTACAGTTGTCAATTTTTGACACCGTCATCATATGTTAAAACTGCTGTTCTTTCCTGTTTATTTCTGGCCTTTACCCTCAGGAGAAGGTCCAATCACCTTGCTGGCCCCTCTCCTTCCAATGTGACAGACAGGCTAACATTGGCTGCTACCTTCTCAGAGACATTCTGGGGTGGGCTACCAGGTCAGCTCTAAGCCTACTCAGGATTAATGGAAAGGTAGAGGTAGAACATCACAAAACTCAAGACTCATTTTTTTCACATCACTGTTTATAGCAGCTTTATATGAACAAATCCTCCAAACTAGAAAGAAATTCACTTGTCATCCTTTGGCAGAAAAATGATTAAACAAATTGTGGTGTATCCACACCATGGACTACTATTCAGCAATAATCTATACTAATCTATACTAATAAAAGAGTAATTATGCTAACTAGACTGGGAGACCTTCCAGAGACCTTCTGGACAAAGCCATGATGGTGGGGTTGAGGCAGAGGTGATTAGGGATGATCAGGCCAGGAGGGGAGAGCAATTGTGGGGGGGGGGGGAATCAGGCCAACAGTGGGGGGGCAGTTGGGGGTGATCAGGCCAGCAAGGGGGAGCAGTTGGGGACAAGAAGGCTGGCGGAGGGCAGTAAGGGTGAGCAAGCCGGCAGGCAGAGTGGTTAGGGGTGATCGGGCAGGTGATCAGTTAGGAGCCAGTGGTTCTGGCCTGTGAAAGGGATGTCTGACAACCAGAGTCAGAATCCTCTAAGGGATCCCAGATTGGACAGGGTGCAGGCTGAGCTAAAGGACACCACTCCCCACCCTGTGCATGAATTTCATGCACCAGGTCACTAGTCCTATTAATAAAAGCCTATGTGGTCATGATGTTCTGATGCTATAATGAGCCATCACCAGGAGGCTGTGTGTGCAGCGGGCATGGGTGGGTGGGGACTTGACATTTCATGTGCAGCGTGGAGATGGGTCCCAAGGCTCCAGCCTACTCTTTGGGGCAATCCATCGAGGAGCCCCAAATGAGTGGGTGGCGCCTAATTCTTTGGGGCTCCTGCACTGTGAGAGGGCACAGGCCAGGCTGGGGGACTACTCCTCCCCAGTGCATGAATTTCATGCATCAGGCCTTTAGTAAGGAATCAACTACTGACACATACAACAACGTGGATGAATCTTCAGAGAACTATGCTTAGTTGGCTAGTTGGGTATAACTATACAGGAAAAAGGAGAGCTCCAGCTAAGTTAATGTAGGTTCTACTTGTTTGAATCACAGCTAACACCGCAACTAGCTAGCAATCAAGTGTGCTTCTGTTTTCCTTTGCCACCTTTTACCTTTATTGGGTCTTGAAGTCTGGGAGAGAATTTGTGAAACCCGAAGTTATAATGCCACTGCCCCCTAACAGACTCCTCTCCTCACCCACCGCTAACGTCCTCACAGGATGGGAGACCTTAGCCTGGTATCCTTCTCCAGTGGGAGGGTTCAGCCTCCTGCCATCGCCAATCTTTTTTTCCAAGACCTTCCTTGCCTTTGCTCTTCCCTTTTTCCAGGCCTGGTGTGATCTGCTGAACAAAGCATTTCACACTCTCTCATGCATTTTGGCCAGTAAAATGATGGCAGCAAAGTCAGAACTGGAATGGGATCTTGATTGAAAAGCTTTTGCAGTGAGAGATTTTGGAAGAACAGTAGTACCACTTTAGTTTTTAGGAGTGACCCCTTAAGTGTTATTACTAACCTAATGCATTCCAAAAATTTCTCTGTATAAAAGTGGGGTTATGGAGGGATGCCCATTTCCATTGATGCATCTATCTTCTTGTGCACATCACAAATGAGCCCCTAACGCTAAGGGAATAAAAAAAAAGTGGGTGATTCTGTCCTGAAGACGGACTCATAGCGTTCCGAAGGCAGCTTCTGCCCTCACATGGCATATGTGGGAAGTAAGTATACAGAAAGGGTCAAAGGGAATAATGGCCAAAAGTTGGGGGAAAAGTGAGAACCTCTAAGATATAAAAAAAGAGACAGAGGCAGCAAGAAAGAGAGAATGAACGGAAGAGAAATTTACATTGGCTGTGGACAGACTATGCAGCTCTGAAAACATCGGAGTGCCCACAAGTACTGGCCCTTCTGGCATTTAGGGGTCAGTTTTCATGATCTAGGGCAATAGGACTAGCATATCCCTATTCTGCTCTTGTTGATTAGTCTAACCATGGTGGGTAGAGACTCAGACAAGGTGAAAAAAAAAAGCCATTGAAATTGAAGAATGTAAAGAAGCTAGATCATTTTCAGATGTGACTAAGTTCAGTTTTCATTTTAGAGAAATTGGAAATATGGAGCATCAAGTGAGTTTTAGGGACTTTACCCCACAAAGCTTATGAAGATTGTAAGATTTAGAGACTCAGTTCAACCTTAAAATGCAGAGCTGCTGTTGGTCTGCCTTTTTGAGATGAGATATCAGAGTGCCCTAGTTAGGTGGCTGTATAAAGAATCTCCTTGCCTAATACCACAATTAAGGATTTGCCCGGGGAACCATTCCATACTAAATGCCACTTGGAGATGGTGATTCATAGACCTGAATGGAGGAGTGTGTACCTGAATTTTATTTGACTAATTTTATAGCATTTATTACTCCTTAGTCTTTACTTTCAGAATAGTAAATCTAAGAGTTTCTAGACTTTTAAAAGGGGTTTATTACATATAGGAATATTATATTAGTCTAGGTGCAAAATAGAGCACTATGTTAACTGGTAGGAACCTAAAATAAAAAACAAAACAAGCACTTTTTAGGTAATCACATGCCTACTTACCTTAAATGCCATGAACTTATGATATGGTTTGGGAGCCCAAGCATATATCTCCACAGCATTCTTTAAGGCAATCACCAAGAATTTGATCCTTTCATATTTAACTGTAATAGAAAATAATAAATTAAAAAGCATATCAATTTATTCAAGTTTTTGTATTAATGAATGTGTAAGCATAATATGCAAATATACAGGGTGAGGCAAAAGTAGGGTTATAGTTGTCTGTCTGGAAAATAATACAATAATCAATAAGTAATTATACAAGAATAAACCATGTTTCACATATTAACAACTAAACACCTGCTTTTGCTTCATCCTGTATAGATAAAATGACAATTAAGGGTGATGATATTGGTGTAGGATTTTCTTAGAGAGACAGATTTAACTTCCTTTTGTGTATCTGGTTTGCATAATACTTGGGGTCTTCTGTTTTGTACTGAACACCCTTTTCTTCATCTAAGGATGTAACTGGCTTAGGATTGTCTTTAACCACTAGGTCTAGATGTAAACTATACATTATAATAAGAATATACATACTATCCCTTGATGTTTCCTTGCCTAGCTTTTATGTTCATTCACATGTAAGCAAGCAGGGGAGAGCTGGTAGAAAAATTAGCAAATGGGTAGAGGCATAAAGGCTTCCATTTGCTTATTATCCACATTGGAATTTCAATTATTAAAAATGTATAAGGAATTAGTGCCCTTATAAAAGAGAACCTAGAAAGATCCCTCTGCCCTTATGGTATGTGAAGTAGTAGCAACAAGACAGCTGTCTCTAAAGAAGGAAGCGAGTCCCAGCAGACAGTGCATCTGCCAGTACCTTGGTCTTGATGGGATTCCCAGCCTCCAGAACTGTGAGAAATAAATTCCTATCTATAATAATCTATAATAATAAAAACCGAATGGATTACCAAACAGCTGTGTGGGGCAACCAGACTGTCAGGGAGGGTTAGTAAGGGGCAACCAAATGACTGAGCAGCATGCTGTGTGGGGCAACCAGGCTGGCAGGGGGGTTAGTGAGGGGTGTCCAAATGACCGAACAGCAGGCTGCATGGAGTGACCAGGCCAGCAGGGGGGCACAGTAATGGGTGACCAGGCCGGCAGAGGAGGGCAGTGAGGAATGACCAGGCTGGCAGGGGGGGGCAGTAAGGGGCTACCAGGCCAGGGGGGGGGCAGTTGGGGTGACCAGGCCTGCAGAGGGAACAGTAAGGGGCGACCAGGCCAGCAGTCAGGTGAGCAGTTTGGAGCCAGTGGTCTTGGATTGTGAGAGGGATCCCATATTGGAGAGGTGCAGTCTGGGCTGAGGGGAACACCCCCCGCCCCCATTCCTCCGTGCCCCTCAACCCTGTTCACGGATTTTGTGCACTGGGCCTCTAGTCTGTAATAATAAAAGCATAATATGCTAATTAGACCAGACAGCCAAATGACATTCTGGATGTCCTTCCGGATGACCTTCTGGAAGAAGCTGGGGCTGGGAGGGAAGCCCGGGTCCCAGGTGCCTGCTGATGGCTGGAGGGAAGCCCGGGTCCCATTGCCAGAGGAAAGCTGGTGCTGGCAGTGGGGGAGGAAGGCCTATTCTTGCACGAATTTTGTACATAGGGCCTCTAGTTGCTTATAAGCCATCCAGCCTGTGGTATTCGGATATAGCAGCCTGAATAGACTAAAATAGTACATACGGCGGTCATTTTTTTTCAATGCAATTTTGAACAGAATATTCTGTGTTCTAAAGAAATTGGACATCCCAGAATAATACCAAATTCATGCTCTTTGAGCTCTTTTTATTTTTTTGAGCTCTTTTTTTGAAGCATGTCCCTTCTGTTTACACATTCTGACTTTAATATACTTTCACCTATTACTTTAGCAATTTATTTCTAAATAAAATATTTACAATGTTATTTATTGATTTTTTTTTCCAGTTGTGCGTATTATCTACTGACTTTGTAGTATGGGAAGGATTTAGTTTCTTCTATCTCCTCTCTAGTCTTGCTCTTAAAGATACAAATTTCTTCTTCTCCATTCAATATAGTGACATTTGTAATTTTTTGTTAAATCACTATTCTGTGTTCAAATTATTATTGTTCACAGATGAGTGCATAGCATACCATAATTATGTTTGCTTTCTTGTTTTCCCTCATGTTTTCATGTCTTTATTTTCTATGTATCACTAAGTATGTGTAGGCCTTCTTCTAGAACTGTAACTGCCTTCAATAATCAAACATGACAGGTAATCCATTAGTAAAATTTTATTTTTTTCTTGAACTCACCTCTTCTGGAACCTTTTGCTTGAACTGACAGACACACACATACATGTACCCTATTGGTTCTGTTTATCTGGAGAGCTCCATTCAGATGGATTATTAAGATGAGGTGAAAATAAACTTTCCCTCAGAATTATGAAGCCTAGATCCACTGTCTTCCAATTTTCTAGTATTGCTGATAAGTCCCAGGCCACCTGAGTCTGGGTCTATTATAAGTAAACTGTTTATTTATTTAGTTATGATCTGGAAACTTTAAGGAGTTTCTCATTTCCTAGATTCTGAAATATGTTGAAACATCTTGAGGTGAATCTTTTTTTTTTTTTTTTTAATCGATTCTTCTGGGTACTCAGTGAAACCTTTCTGTGATTTCAAGGCTTTAGTTATAAAAAACGTTTCTTTATATTTTTTCTTTCATACTTTCCTCTTCTATTTCTTATTTTTCTTTTTTTCTCTCTAAAACTCATGTTACTAAGATTTTGAGTCACTTTTATTTTCAACTTCCCCCTCTCCATCTCTCCTTTTTTGTTCTACTTTCTAAGAGATTTCTCATTTTTATCTTCCAACATTTTTATTACATTTTTTATTCCTGCCAACACATTTTAATTTCTAAGATTTTTTTCTAGTCTTCTGAATGGCTTTCCCCAACCCTGCTCCACAATTTTAAATAGTCTTTATTCTTCTTTTATGAAAAAGTTTTTATAATCCTTCCGAAGTTATAATTTCTTTCTTTAAAATTTTCTTCCACTCCTCATTATCCTGTTCCTTCTAAACCCCTTTCTAAGTTTCCTGCCTATCAGTGGATTTCTCCATTTCTGATATGTGGGCTTATCGACCACTCGGCTTCGCTTTAAGATGTTAGGCAGCAAGCTTTGTTCAGGCATTTCATCTGCTAATATCTGAACAGCTTTTCTTTCTGGTCATTTAGTTTCTCCAAAGATGAATCTTTGAATCTCTTGCTTGGGACCGACATTTTGGGAACTAAATGGGATGGAGGTGTGTGTGTCCTTACATTTAGTATTTCCTATCATCAGATCGGCTGTGCCAACCTTTCATCTTCTATTTCTTTTTTTAAAAATCTTTATTGTTGAAAGTATTATATATGTCCCCCTTTTTCTTCCACTGACTTCTTATAACCTGTCCCAATACCCTGTTGCATGAGTCCATTGGTTATGCATATGCATACAAGTTCTCTGGTTGATTTCTTCCCACCCACCCACACTTCTATTTCGATTGGGAGCTGGGCAGCTGCCTGACTGACTTCTACTATAAGGACGTGTTACTCATCAACTTTTCAACAATCCTTCTGTTTTCAATTTGACTTTATGCTCCCACCTGGGGCCTCAGGTCCTGGGTCTGCCTGGGTTCTGTTAAGTAACTGGAGTGATTTTGATAAATTTATTCACTGAAAACTTAAAATTCAGCATTTCCTGTTTGTCTAAGTTTGTTTTTAATCATCCAGCTACTCTTGTTCAATGTTGTTGACATCTCATTTGTTGGTTTCTCTTGTCCCTGTGGGTTTATGACATTTGTATTCCTTCACTGTCATTTTAATAGGCAGGAGTGGCTATAAATGCTTAAACTGGAGCCTGGGGCTTTATTCTAAATGTACTCTTTAAACCTCACCCACCTGGCTTTTTTTGTTGGGAAATAATGGAAGTGTACTTAAGGTTTCAACAACATCTTAACTTGGTCATAAATGCATCAATTTCTGATAGAAAAAAAAGAAACTTAACAGAATAATTCAGATTGAGCACAAAACAGTTCCATGCTTTGAGACTTACCAACTTTGTAATGTATACAGCCTTCCAAGTCCCCAACAGTGATCCAGCCTTGTTTCTTTTCCACTTCCGGGTCATTGTGTAGTATTCTGTTTCTTAGCCATGAAAGATAGTAAACTCGTAGCTTATTCTTCTTTCCTGTTGAAATAATGGAGTTTTAATTCCAAACCCCTGTGATAGCTTTTTCTCTTAACCCTTCCCATCTCCATTTTATTTTAGTCATTTATTTTCATTTACAATTGTGTGTGTGTGTGTGTGTGTGTGTGTGTGTGTGTGTGTTTGTATAAAGGCACAATAGCCAGTGTCTCCAGCACCATCTAAGTATGTGGGCTTCTGCCAAAACTTTTGATTGAAACAACCCCAATTGTTTTGAACAAATAACCATTTTATAATTTGTCTTTGCCTTCAGGTCGTTTATTTTTATTTTTATTTGAGCATGCTGCTCTTACACCTTCTCTTCTTGAAGCAAAGGGTAGTGTCTGCTGATAGCAGTAAGACCTAATTGTTTAACAGAACGGTTAACCAAAGTTCCAGAATAGTCTAGATCTAATTATACGAAGGAATTCTGACAACTGGACATTTTATCATACTTATGTGTGACTTCCATCCTTTCACCTGCTAATCTAACAGCATATGTGAATAGAGAACTTCTTATTTACCTCCTCTATTACTTTAAAGATGGCAGCTGTAGTAGATTTATTTTATAATTAACAAATAGAGGGATTTTACAAGGAAACGAGAAATAAGTTCAATGAGGGCAGTCTGAGCTATAACACTGGACTGAGATCATAGAAAGAAATACCACACAAAAATGGGGAAGGAAAAAGAGATGAGTACTTGAAAAAAACAAAAAACAAAAAACAAAAAACAAGTTCCCTTTGGTAAAATGATCCTGGAATAAAGAATATTTAGTATGATAAAATTTAGCCCTGTGAGTTTTCCTTCTTGGGTATTTATTTTCCTTTGATTTCTCTTAGGTATCAAAAGATGTTTTACATTTTACAGAGATAATATTTACCAGAAAACAATTCATTATAGCATTGCACACTGGATTTGACAGGAGAGTGCATTTGTAACTTAAATTAAGGAAATCATAGTGAAGTTACTGCTCCTCTTTGTAGCCAAAAGCCTAGAATATGTATTGACCAGGATGAGTGGGAGAGCTACCTCTTCCCTCTTTCTGCCAACACAGACCCAAAGGCAGTTCAAGCATCCTTTGCTCCTATCTTCATCTTTTTCTTTCCCCATCTACGCCTCATGAGAAGATAAAATGCTTTCACTTTAAAAAATGGGAATGTGTCACTCACAACATAATGAAACCTGAATGTGACTTTTCTGGTATCATTTCCACTTTTGGTAGGTGACTGGCAGATGTGTGGTTTTAAATGTGATTTGGTAGTAGAGCAATCAAAAAAGCAATTAACCAGAACAAAGGACTACACGGAATTTAACTCAAATGATAATAGAAGAATAATTTACTTGGTTAACTCTTATGTGGGCAGAATAAAAAGAATCGAAACTGAGTATTCAGTGGAAAGGTAAAAGAAAGACATTTAAAAGTAAAGACATTTTATTCAAAATAGAAGTATAGTTGAAGAGTTCAACTTTATTCAAGATTCAACCCAGTAGCACTGCATTGTCTCTGCAAAACGGTGGCTGAGTGTAGAGCCATGTTTTTCAAACTTGGCTGCACATTGGAAACACCCCAGGAGCTATGAAAGCAATGGATGTCTGAGCCCACAAGGGATTCTGACCCATTGGGTCAGGGATGCAGGCTAGATTTTCCATATCTCCTCACTTTTGTCTTCATCTTTTTGTTTTTTGTTTTTTTGTTAACCCTTCCCCAAGGATATTTTTCCATTGATTTTTAGAGAGTGGAAGGGAGGGGAGAGGCAGAGAGAAAAACTGATGTGAGAGAGACATGTCAACTAGCTACCTCCTGAACCAACCAGTGTTGGGAATCAAGCCTGCAACTGAGATATGTGACTTTGGGAATTGAACCTGGACCCTTCAGTCCGCAGGTCAATGCTCTATCCACTGAGCCAAGCAGGCTAGGACTGTCTCCATCTTTTTAGTGAAGCTCTTTTGGGATCAGGAAACTGCAGAGCGTAGCAGGAATGTTCGTTCCCACATTCAAATTTCTTTGCAGACTCAGTCACCCAGTGGGCCAGCTATGCTTGCTAAAACATCAGTGGACTAGTTAAGCTGGATCAGTTCTTGTAAGAAGAGAGACCACAGAAATTCCTGCTTATAAAATTTCTTACTCCCAGAAGCCTACCTTTTGATTTTCTTCTGAGAGTAGACAGCAATGACTGGAGTGCAGACATCTTAAAAGCATCCTTGCTGAGTCCTGGTAGTGGTCAAAGGCCCATAACGATACAGCCTTCGTAGTATGTCCCTGCCTAATTCAGATTTCCAGCAGAGGTGAAAGAGATTTACCTTTGGAGGTCAGACTGTCCAGAGCTACAAAATGCAGGTGATCTCACTCTGACTATACTGTTATAATTCATTGTGTACCTTGTTAGCTGGAAAGGGCAGAAATTACTGTTTCTTTAGGAATGAGGTGATCATTTCCCACCTGTGCAGACCTGGAGGCCTCGGTTATCCCAGTAACATACCTGATATTGTCACGAGGACATTCAGTCCCTCTAGCACATCCATCTGCTGAAATCGCCTCCGGTTGATCAGATTATAGACTTTGCCTTGTCCACTTCGGTCCAAAAGCATCAGGCCATTTTCAGTTCCCACCAGGAGGTTCACACCTGCAAATTTAAGAAGCACCCCAAGACTGACTTTTTACAGGCTTTAACCTTCTGCATCTGGTGTCCCTGTAAAAGCTAAGAAATGGTGCTTTGTAAATATAAACTAATGGGCAAGGAGGCACTGTAGTCGGGAGTGCAAAAGTAAAAGCTCTGACATAGTAATTAAATCACTGTCTCTTTGGTAATGAAATTAGTTTTAATTTATGAAGTTGTAGCAGCATTTATTGCATCTGGGCATTTACTACCTACTGTAAAGAGTCCTTCTCAAGAGGAGCCTAAGGCACAGCTGTGACACCACCACAATTTGCCTTTGTTCCTTTCCTATAATACCCACCCTTTCTTGGCTCTTTAAATCCCACCTCGAGACTTCCCTAAGGTCCACTCCCACCCTTGATCATGCAGTGATTTCTAGCCTATCCACCTTCAACAAAGAACAGAGTGCCCCATTTCCATACCCCACTGGGAGGAAACACTTTCCTTCCTCTCACACCACAGCTTAACTTATGCTCTAAGGTTCTGCTCCCTGTTGGGAAATGAGAAAATAATTCAAGAGAAGGTATGAATAGTTTCAGAGTCACAGGGATAATGACTGTAAGGAACTTCTCAGGCATCTAAAGCTAGTCCAGCCCTCCTCTCATATAATAATCCCTATTAGAAAGCCTGTCTGGATAGCTACAATACTAAAAGTTCATCCCTAGGCAAATCACCACCACTCCCACTCCCAACACACAACACTCACGTAAACACTGAGGTCCAGTGCACCATGGACTATATTTATGAACAGGTAACTTTCTAACTTCCCTTGCTTGTTATATGTCTATCTTCTGAGGAACATCAATGCCTGCTCTTTCATGTACATGGTCAATATTAACATGTCTATCTTGTTGGTTTTTATCTCTTCTCCAGAGGATAGAGCCTTACTTCTGCCTATCACACTTCCCATGAAATGGTTTTTGGGCTTCATGCTCTTCTCCACTAATATCTCAAATGCCTCTGTCCTTATAAAATTGTGGCCCCCAAACCCGATCTAGTACTTTAGATGGGTACAGGTGAGGCATGTCTTTCCCTGATCTGAACATGGCATTTATAGGAACACAGACTATCACACCTACTCTGAGTTTGAGGTCAGCTAAAGCCTGCAGATCTTTTTCACAGGAACTACAGGTTAATGTTTTGAGCTGAAGGGGAAGGTTCATTATCTATTTTCCTTTTCAAATTTTATCCTGTGATTATTGGAGTGGCCTTTAGCAATTCACTGAAATATGCTGGGCTCATTTTTCAGCTGTGAAAAAAAGGTAATGCCTTCACTCCCCTTGTAAGATGTTGAAGGGATCACAGAATGTGGGCACATAGTGGGTGTTGTATTAAGTAGTAGCTAAATCTATTGTTGGCTCTAGTCCATCCCTTATGTAAGATGGTTCTGAATCTCATATCGTTATCCTGGGTATCTGTTTGTGCCACATATAAAATTGTTCTTGATCTTTCCTGAGGCCAAGATAGACCCAGGTCAGGTCTCTAATGCTCATGATTCCAGCAGTGCTCTTCTGATGGTAAGATCCCCCGGCTTTAAATGCTTGAGGGTCAACTCATTACTGAGTTGCAAAGAGCACCAACTTACCCCACAGCGCTGCACAAAGTATCTCTGAGTTGAAGCGTTTCTTGTATTTTCTGATTTCTGGTGTGTCGCTATGGGGCCGGATGTTGGTTGGGTTTACGTTGACTACTGAAATCTTTCTGGCTTCATTGAGCTTGGCCTGTTCTTGCCTAAGAAGTTCGCTAGTAAATAGAGCTTTGAGAAAAAGAATCAGAGAAATCAGTGGCTTCTTAAAAAGTAACTCACGGAGTTATGGAGAAGGGGTTTCAAAACACAATGATTTCTTCTTGTTTAGTGTGCATTGTAGCAAAGGCAAAGAAACTCTGAAGTATGCACATTTTACATATTTTTTTTTTTTAGTAGAATAAAGTATGTCATTCATAGAAGCAGTATTTTATCCATTAGTCAAACAGGCTATGGACAGCACTTGAGTAGTTTAAGGGATTACTCATAAAATTAAATACATCATCCTCATGCCCTGCCATATATGCAGGGAGGATTTGCTTTTTGAAATTCCACATTGTCAGCTGACAAATTGGCCTAAGTTGAGTCTGATGATTAGTGAGTCGTAGAGGTCTAGAAAGCAAGACTCTGTGGAAAGCAGCCAGGCTTTTGCAGTGGGAAACACACACCTAGAGCTCAACACAACTCCACACGCACTTATCAAGTGTCTACTGCGTGCATAGCATTGTACCCAGAAATTGCTTTTGAGAAACATGTGGTAAGTTTGGAGATCTCTGAGGAACAGCTTTTCCTAGGGCCCCTGGATACCTCTGGGTTCCTACCAAAAGTGACATAGAAGAAATCAAAGACAGATGCAAAGAAAGAACGAAATTTGTTTTAGGAATCCTAAAAAAAAAAAATTAAAATTAAAAATAAAAGTCTTCCCTTTAAGATAGGGCCTATAAAATACATGGCTTAACTATTGAACTAATGATTAATTTGTTTTTTTTTTTAGTCAGGCAAGAGCAGAGAGCCTAAAGCATCGGGACTTTCTAGCTTACCCGCGGCTGATGATTCTTCATCTTCTTCGTCTTCATCGGTGGGAGATGTCTGATATACTCTGGGGTCCACAAAGGGCGTGAAAGATGCTTTAGTGCTGCTCCCCATACCATACTAAACAATAAGCAAGAAGATGAAAAAGAGAAAATAAATAAATACTGCAGCAACAAATAATGCTAACAATACTTTGCTTGGGCTTCAAAATAATTATAGGTTCTTACCTGTCCAGCTGTTTACACTCTAACCCCCTAGCCTCTCTCTCTAGCTTCTTCTGCTATTGGTTACTCACTAGCCATTGTACCTTTGCTAATTATCAGACTTCAAGAGTTACAGTGAACAAATTACATTTTGGACCCTATGTGGCGCCTTAATATCTGGTAAAATAACTGATATCAGAGCTTATCTCTCCCTTGAAGTAAAAGCCATCTCATATTGACCAACTATCCTTACAGACTAACACAGTTGGCAATACACGAGGTAAGCATGTTCTCACTGCAGCACAGTTAACCAAAGGCTCTCTCTTAGGGACTTAGGGCCCTTCCACACTGGCCTCCTGATGCAGGTGGTTTAGTATTGGCTCAAGAACCCTTAAAATCTTTAATGCAGAGACAATTTAATCCAGGAATTGAAGATTTTTCCTTCCTATGACAGATTTCTATTAAAAGGATAATTATATTCATATATCTTATTTGGAGATTTCATGAAGATATTAGGTTTGCAGGCTACGGACTTTGAGGACTTACTTAAAAAATAAGTCTTAAGGGCTTGGAAAGCACCATGAAGACATGAAGTCAGAATTAGTCTATGGGTGCTGAAACTGGTTTGCTCAGTGGGTAGAGCATCGGCCTGCGGACTGAAAGGTCCCGGGTTCGATTCCGGTCAAGGGTATGTACCTTGGTTGCGGGCACATCCCCAATGGGGGTGTGCAGGAGGCAGCTGGTCGATGTTTCTCTCTCATTGATGTTTCTAACTATCCCTCTCTCTTCCACTATGTGAAAAACCAATAAAAATGTAAGAAAAAAAAAAAAAAAAAAAAAAGAATTAGTCTATGGAACAGTGAACTCAAATATCAGGCTCAAGTCACAATATTCCATATTAGAGTATTGTAAAAGGAGCTCCAATAACCATCTCCCCATTTTTGTTGGTCATCTCTATTCTTTCAACTACATTCACGTTCTTTTAATATCCCAAACAGAGCTGCATTCAACACAAGAAGCACTTCTTTTTTTTTTTTTTTTAATAAATGCCTTTAATTACTTTTTATTTTTTAATTTAAAAATATAACCAATATCCCAAGACCCTTAAACACATAAGAAGAAAACCACAAAGATCCCATCTGACTTAATTCAAGATGTCCCCTCCACTTTATAAAATCAAAATCATTTCATCCTCTACAAGATTGGACTCTGCCTCTCAAGTAGAGTACTTTCACACACATTCTCTCCTTTGATCTTTAGAAGAAGTCTGTGAAGGAGGTGGGGGCAGGCACTAATATTCTCATTTAGAGCTAGAATGGTGACAGAATTTGAACCAGGGTCCAACCCTATGGAGTCTTCCTTGGTACCCACAGAGGTGTTCTGGCAGAAAAAAAAAATCTGCCCATGCTGCATGCTACAATAGACTGCTTGCCCTTTCCTATATACTTCTGAGTTCTTTTCCTAAAGGCAGACAAAGCCTATTTACTCTATAACTTTAGAATCCAAAAGGTGCCTCATAAAAAATTAGTCTGTGGACGACATAAAACCACCAGGGCACATGCTTGATAACCACAAGTAGGAAAGGGCCTAAGTGTGACTCACAGGACTACTCATGAAATATGACCAAGCACTATGAACTCATCTTACTGGTCAATTTGGTCAATAACATTTATGAGTACTACCTAAAACACTTTGTTTATTGAGGCTTTTTTCCTGGACTTTTTCCATCTGGGAAAGATAATATCCCATCCCTCCCTTTCTTATGCAATTTGGAGTTTAGAAAAATGAACACATAGAGAATGTTATCTATTTATTGATTTTTATTTTTCATAAATAAATAATTTCAACCTCATCTCATTTAAGTCAAACTTAGTTTGACTAAACTAATGTAAATGTGAACCTCAACTATTGACCTTGGATTCTCTCTCGGCTGAAGTTTGCTATCACTGGCCTGGCAGTTAGGAGGTCCCAATACTGGTCCCAGTGCTATCTCAAGTCAGTTATGGGCCTTGGGCAAGACTCTTCACCATATGAGCCTCATCTGTAGAATCAGGTATTGGTCCCTATGATACCTGAGAACTTTCACTGCTCTGCTTCTATGATTTCCTTTATCTGAGTCTATATATAAGCTATAGAGTAGGAACCAACCAAACACATTTCTGGGAGCCTGTCAAAGACCTATTCTTGAAGACAGCAGGGTTTCAGAACTCCTGAGGGAGAACAGAGCTGTTGTGGCTATTGCCCAGCACCTACTTCAGACCCAGAGTCCATTTCCTGGGAAAGGGTAGAGACATGTCCCAGGCCCTCGGTGGGGGTTCCGGCTGGGGAACGACTTTGCTGCACCAGGTCCGGGAGGTTGATGTGACCGGCAAAGCCATTGCTGTCACTGTGGCCAGATCGCTTCTTCTCTCCAGATGTCTGAGGGGGCACAACACATGGGGGGGAGGTAATTAGAGGAGGAGGCTAAGGCTACCGAGTGATATCACCCCTCACATAGCACAGGCGTAATGGTCTCCAAATTGACCCACTGGCATGTGGAAGATACTACTCAAATTTCTATTATACCTAAGAAAATAAGAAAGAGGTTATGCTTTGTTAATATTTATTGTATAGTTTGACCCTGAGGCCTTCCCTGTGGAAAGGCAGGGATGTTGCAGATAGAGGGGCTAAGTGGGGCCCGCACTTGAAAATATTTGGGTATGTTAATGTGTATACATATCAGGTAAATGAATCTGTGGATCATATTACTAGATTATAATGACAAAAACCCACAAAACAGATAGCATGCCCTAAAATATGGCTGAAAAGAACCAGCGGGATTAGGTAACACTAATAATCCAGGTACGTGTGTACTCCAAGAAAATGCAGAGCTGATACCCTACTCAGGGTTCTTTGTCAGTCACCAAGTCGACAAATGATTAGCTCTGGCTGGTATGGCTCAGCTGGTTGGGAGTCATCCCAAATACTGCAAGGTTGTAGGTTCGATTCCTGGTCAGGGCACATGCCCAGGTTGTGGACTTGAGCCCAGGTGGGGGTGTGCAAGAGGCAGCTGATTGATGTTTTGCTCTTACATGGATGCTTTTCTCTTTCTCCATCTCCTTTTTCCTCCCTCTGAAAATCAATTAAAAATCTTAAAAAACAAAAACAAAAACAAACACCAAAAAACAACCCACAAAGAAAAACACACCTGAATAATTAACTAACCAGGTCTGAAAGGAGGTGAAAAAACAAACAAGCAAAAGACAAGAAGCCATGGTAATGATCCAAAGATTATTTGAAAATATGGATTTACATCCACTATCACTAATGTCAAATCTCCCAATGAGCAACCATGGTGTCCTGTGATAGCATCCGGGGGTGGATGGGGGGGGAAAGCCAGCATGACTAGTAAAGCATTTGAAATACAGTTTATGATACCCCTTATTAATGCCCTTTAAATGTATTTTATAGTGTATATAGTACAGTAAGACAGATGTATAATGTGTAAACAAATACACTGTATTCTGTGGCATGCTCTAAAATTTTTACCAAGAGTTGCTTGACCTAACAAATTGTAAATCCCTGCCCAGAGAAGCAAAGTCTCCTTCCCAAAATCTCAGGGACAAAATGCAGGATTGAAAGACAGCTCTGCTCCCTAAAAGCCAGTGCCCACCCCATCATAGGCCTCACTGTACTGCACTATTTAATTTAATATTTATGCGACTAACTCATTGAGAGCTCTTAGAGCAGATCTGATTAAGGTACGATTCCCTTCCTTGTTTTTTTTTTTTTTTTTTTTTTTTTTTTTTTTTTTTTTTATTCATTTACCCAACAATTTTGAGTGTCTACTAAATGTGAGGCATTTTGCTGAACATGCAGGAATCAGTCAGGAGCAAGGCCGATGCCTTCCCTGCCCTGTTTGGGGCTGGTTGCCATGGGCAAGGGTTCATGTTGTTTCTTTGACCACACCTGCCAGGCTTCTTCCTTCCAGAACGTGTCCTGTTGTTTTAAAAATATATATTTATTGATTTCAGAGAGGAAAGGAGAGGGGAAGAGAGATAGAAACATCAATGATGATGAGAGAATTAGCTGCTTCCTGCATGCCTCACATTGAGGATTGAGCCCACAACGAGGGCATGTGCCCTGACTGAGAATTGAACCATGACCTTCTGGCTCATAGACTGAAGCTCAACCACCGAGCCATGCCAGCCAGCCCTTGCCCTGTTTTTGCAATTATAGCTCTGCATCTGCCTCTGACTGGAAGGGAAAGGAAAAGGAGGCATTCCCCTTCTCCCCCACAAGATAAAACAGACTCCCAAGGTCCTGAAGGGATGCATGTAACTGAGGTTACCAGGAAGCTTGAGAAGTAACTGAAGACTTCGTGCCCTCTATGTTTCTCGGCAACATGCTCCTGACTGTAAAGTGTCCCAGAGAGAGGCAATTTCTGGTCCCATTTTGCCACAGAGCTTATCTGCACATTTCATCTTCTAAATGACATTTCGGGGATTTCGTACTAATTTCTCTGATTGTCGTCTCTCTTATGTGCACTGGGTAGCTTTTCCATTTTCCTAATTTCTGTTCAAACACTGAAATGTTTTTTTAAACATTTTCCCCAACTTTCCAGGAGCAAAAATCACACATGATCTCTTTAGAGTTTTCTAGTCTCTTTTCTCTCAGGAGCATTCTACCACAAGCCAAAAACGGATGCAACAAACTGGTTCTCAAAGACCTGAAAGGTTCAGGAGGGGAAATGGCCCAGACAGTGAAAAGTTGAAAGAATCCAGCAATGACCCATGAATCTCTCTCCACTTCTGAGACGTCAACCTTTTGTTCATTCAACCAGCACCTTCTTAGAATGAAATACTTTCTGTGTGCCAGGCACTCTGCTGGGAATATAAAAATAAGTAAACAATAGCCTTGCCTTCTATGATGTTATTAACAGAACCCCCCCAAATCTCTATGATCTTCATGATCTCACCACTCATACTAAGAGAATCCTAACATACGCCTGGGATCATGCTAAACACTTTGTTTTTATATCCTCACATGAACAACATGAATTAGCTTCCCATATGACAGGAGCAAAACTTCAGTGTAAAAAATTCAATTAACTTGCCCCAAGTGACACAGGTTTGTAAGTGGTGAAATCAGGGTTTGAGCCAAGGCTGTCTGTTGACAGAGCCCAGGTGCCCTGGGAGGCTGCTGTACAAGGCGGCTCAGCTCTCAGCCATAGCTGAATGGACCAGGATCGCACACCTGAGCCAAGCAGATTGCCGCTGGAATGCACCACTGGGCCTGAGAGATCCAGCTGGACTGGGATGTGGTGATTATTTTGCAATGGGGAATGGTTGGGGGGGATGAGAATAGGTGCATGTGGAGGAAGAGAAAGGTGGGAGAGAGAAAAAGAGAGAGAGAGAGAGAGGGGAGGGGGTGAAATGTGGCGGAAATAGTGACAGAGCCAGAGGTGTGCACATGGCTCATAGATTGAAGCTCAACCACTGAGCCATGCCAGCCAGCCGAGCTCCTGATCACTTCTTAGCATCTGCACAACCCTGCATAGGATCCCAACTCACTCTCTGCCTTTGGTGTCCTTCTATGAAATATTCTGACTCTTTATTCCTCACCTCTGATACCTACCCCACTGTTTTATGTGGGTTCTTTTTCCTATTACTTGAAACCAATAGAGGCTTCTTGAAGATAAGCTAGTGTTCTGGTTCAGTGAGGTGGATAGACCCTGGAGAGACACCAGCTGGTCAGGAAGGAAGGTGCTATGAACAGAGGCCCAGTAGGGGCTTCAAGAGAAAGGGAAGGTTGAGCCAGACCTCCACGGGGCTGCTGGTGAAGAGTGGGTGGCAGAAGGGAAGGGAGAATAGCTCTTCTAGCAGATGGACCCCATAGACAAAGTGGCAGATGACAGCTGGGGATGGGGGTATGTTCCAGGACTAGAGAAAAGGAAGGCCTGGTGGGGCTAGAGGGTAGGGAAAGTAGAAGCACCGCACTACAAGGGAAATTTGTGCACCACAAGATCAGGGGTAGCGGAGAGAGTATGTTCCAGAAGGTCCACTCCTATAAGAAGGACGAACTGAGCAAGACCTCCTTGATGTTCATCTTAGGGACTGAACTAATAGCACTCTATAACCTGAGTTCTTATTTCCTTTTTCTTTTCCTTTTCTTATTTATTGTCAGCAACATACTTTAATTTGCACTTATTTAAAAAAATACATGTACTTTAAAAAAATATATTTTATTAATTTTTTTTATAGAGAGGGAGGAAGAGAGAGAGTGAGTTTGAAACATCGATAAGAGAGAAACATCAATCAGCTGCCTCCTGCTCCACCCACTGAGCCAAACCAGTTAGGGCAGTGGTGGGCAAACTCATTAGTCAACAGTACAACGATTGAAATTTCTTTTGAGAGCCAAATTTTTTAAACTTAAATTTCTTCTAACACTACTTCTTCAAAATAGACTCGCCCAGGCCATGGTATTTTCTGGAAGAGCCACATTCAAGGGGCCAAAACGCCGCATGTGGCTTGCAAGCCGCAGTTTGCCGACCAGAGTTAGGGCAATTCATGTACTTTTTAAGGGATTTCAACTCAAGGTTTGCTCTTCTAAAAGTCCACATTTGGGAACCATAAAGTTTAAAAACTGAGAGAATAAAAAGGTTTTGGAGCCCTCAACAGGTCAAATTCTTATAAAATACTGGTGAATGCTATTTTCAAAGTGACTGACTGTGGCCAGAGTCAGTATTAGGCAGCCATTCGGGTGTGGCTGCCAGCTGAGCTGAAAATGTGGCTCCAGATACCTGCTTCAAGGGACTGACTCTGCTTTAAAGATACAAGCAGATTGTAAACCACATTAGAAATCAGGTTCCTTTTATTTGGAGTCAGGGAGTAACTCACTCCAGAACATTTTTCCTCATGTTTTCCCAGGTGACAAGCCATCGTGATAGCAGCCCTCCACATGCCTGTGGAAATGACCCGTTCTCCAGCACTGTCCCTGGTCAGCTTCTGCAGCCAGGCTCACTCTCCATTTCAGGCTGGCCGGAGGGGACTCTTTAGCTTACTTAAAAGATTCAGCAATGCTGGGAAATAAAATTCTAACAAGCTGCATTGTGCACAACTCTCCCAGTTTTAGCCATACTGCCAATTTATTCCTTCAAAGGCTTCCTTCATCTCAACACTAGAGTTCCTTTCTCTCTTACAAAAGTGAGACAAGTGAGACCCTCCCCACCTCCTGCCTTTGAAGAGCAGCGCCTGCTGTGAAGGCTTCCCCAACTGCCCTGCTGAGCAAGAAGGACAGGTGGTGACTATGTTTCAGCAGAAGGAGTTGGAAGTAAGAACACATAACAGGAGAACTCAACTCTATGGAGAGAATGAAATAAAATAAAATAGAAGATATGTAATGAATGCTTATTATGCCTTAACTCATTTAACCCTCCCTATCATGTTATGAGTCATAGACTATTACTTATGAAATTTAACAGATGATAAAACAGATGCAGGGGAGAGGTCAAGTAGCTTTTGCCCAATGTCATCGACCATTATTTCCCTTCCAAGTAAAGACCTGTTGTCAAGCTGGCATGGTGATGTGGGGAGGTCCTGCATGGTGGAGGGACAGGTGAAAGGGAACATGTGCTCCCCCCTATGTTTCTCCCCCCCCCCCCCCCCCTGCCAAACAAAATGATGTTTCCAGAGTTTTTTTTTTTTTTTTTTAAAAAGTCACTCAAAGTTCTAAGATGTATTGGAAAAAAAAATCTTTTTCTGAGTATAGGTTTTTATTGATTTTCAGAGAGAGGAAGAGAGTGAGAGAAACATCGATGTGGAGAGAAACATAGATCAGTTGCCTCCAGAATGCACCCTGACTGGGGATTGTACCGGCAACCTAGGCATGTGCCTTGACCAGAAATGGAACCCACAATCTTTTGTGGTCTGGGATGATCCTCCAATCAACTTAGCCACCAGGCCAGGGCACTAAGGTGCATTTAAAAAAAAATATTTTATTGATATTTTACAGAGAGGAGGAAGGGAAAGAGATAGAGAGCTAGAAGCATCAATGAGAGAGAGACATCGACCAGCTGCCTCTTGCACACCCCCTATTGGGGATGTGCCCACAACCAATGTACATGCCCTTGACTGGAATCGAACCTGGGACCTTTAGTCCACAGACCGATGCTCTACCACTGAGCCAAACCGGTTTCGGCACGAAGGTGCATTTTTAAGGTACACTGCAAATTTCTTTGTTCATTCACCAATATAGCTTAATAGTCTTTTTAATGTGAATTTAACCAGGTAAGAAAATGTCACCATTTCTTGGAACTACTGTGCATTTTCTACATAAAATCCAGAAGGATAAAACCATGGGAGGAGGAGGCAAAACCAGGCATGGATGCTATTCAGAGAGACCATTCTTTCCTGTTTTCCTGAGGTAGGAAATATCTAAGTTTGCCAGTTTTATATCCTCAGGCTTAAATTTTATATTCCATTTTGCATAAATCCTACCAAAGAACTTGGGCTCAGGTAATTAAGTCACACTACGAAAGCTTAGAAGGATATAGAAAAGAAGGCGGTGGACAATTAAAATCACCCAACCACTTAGAAGTACAACCCCCCCCCCCCAAGCCCACTCCCCTATCCCACAAAATCCCCCATACTTAAAACACATGCCGTGAGCATTCTCTGTGAAAGTGCTATTATAAACATCTCTTAAGAAATGCACTTCCCCTGCTCAGGTTTCATACCAACTTACCTCTCTTATCATCAAGGTTCCTTCTCTTGAAATACTGCTGCTGAAAGTGTCCGCGTGAGAGGTCTCCAGCCCGTGCGAGCCGACCATGCCCACATTGTACTGCTCCGTGCCCCCGGGAGCTCCTGTCGGTCTGAGATGGAAAAGAACAATATTCACAATGATGGAAGCTTCAGGAATGCTGTTTCCTCCATGTTCATTTTTTAAAAATTATGATAAGATTTACACAACCTAAACTTTACCATTCTAACCATTGGCCTTCCGTACCTTCCATATTCATTTTTAACGCTGCACTGATGTCTGAACGGATGTCCCACTTCAGCAGCTTCCCCCTTTCGACCTGATTTCCACCCAGCAGCCAGAGAGAGGGACCAGATACCCTGACAGGTGTGTTTGCACAGGCTGTTCTCTCTGCCTGGAAAGCTTTCTCGCACCCTGGCTCGTGGCTGGTTGCCTCTCATTGGTCTGATTTCATCTTAAATGATACTTTGGCTGAGAAACCTTTTCTTACCACCTACCTGTCTTATCCAACCAGACCCTCTTCTTTCTCTTTACCTTTCCCCTCTATTCTTATCCCAATTGGCCATTCTTTCCTTTTGACTCTCTTTTAACTTTCTCTTTGTCGCTCATTGGAACATATGCTTATGATAACAGAATCTTTGTCTCTTTGCTCATCATTGTATACCCAGCACAGAGTTTAGCATAGAAGTGCAAAAATCGATTGTTTGAAAAACGGGTTTTACACTAGTTATAAAGAAGACATTTCAATTAAGGGCATCAATTAACGAGGCTGTAGAACTCAAACAGTATTCTGTACTTTTTAATTAAAAATATCTTTATTGATTTCAGAAAGGGGGAGAGATAGAAACATCAATGACAAGAGAGAATCATTGATTGGCTGCCTCCTGCATGCCCTGTCTTGGGGATGGAGGTCGCAGCCTGGGCATATGCCCTGACTGGGAATTGAACCAGGGACTTCCTGGTTCATGAGTCAATTCAACCACTGAGCACACTGGCTGGGCAGCAGTCAGTACTTTTTTAAACCTGTGTAATCACCCCACACTGTGGCATATTTGTTTCCAGTTTGTTTCTTGCTTTATAGAGTTTAGATATAATGGAGAGGTAGCAGGATCTCACGCTGGCCTGAGAGCGGAGGCCGATGCTTTCTGTGTGTTCTGCAGCACAGACCACAGCCCCAGGGAAACAGCACAAGGAAGCAGCATCAGCAAGGGCGTGGCTCAACTGCGGGACTTCTGTTTTCAACACGTATCCAGTTGCCTCTCTTTGAAAGTGATTTTTTTTTAAAACAGGAAAATTATTGACATTTGTTTCTCTCATGAGGTGTATTAACCACACCTTTTACTATTTTGTTCTTTTAACTGTTTCTTAAAAATTTTAAAAACATCTCTGGTTTCTTGGATCCTATTAAAGCCCAGCCCAAGCATTTGAAGAAATATTCAATCCAAGACGCAAGAAACACTACAGACTTAGGACACCCCGGCACAGAGGAGACATCTGTCAAGGATTTTTTATCTAAAACAGAGGTGAACAGACAAGTCTAGTCTCCCTCACCCCTCAAAAAATATATAGCAAGACACTTATTTCAAAGGGACTACACTGGAGCAGTGAATGAAATGATCTAAATATGGGCTAGAACTGACAAGAAATTCTGAAGAAACATTTTTAATATTTCATCCCCAGCAAGAAGCTATTAATAGCATTACAGAGACATAGAAAAAGAAATTGCTGCAATTGCCCTAGCTAGCTTGTCTCAGTAGATAGAGCATCAGCCTACAGATCAAAGGGCACCTATCTTGATTGTAGGCTCCTCCCTGGCCTGGACCCTGGCTGGGGCTCTTGCAGGAGGCAACCAATCAATGTGTTTTTCTCACATCGATGTTTCTCTGTCTTTCCCTCTCTCTAAAAAAATCAATGAAAAAATATCATTGGGAATTCCTGACTTATTGCTAGATCATTAGTAAATCAGACTAATTCTCAAACTTAGGATTTCTCCACACATTTCTTAGCTTGCAAATTCAATGGTCACCCTGATGCTTATGGCATTTGGCCTCTTGCCAGTGGTTACTTATCACTCCACTCCATCCTTCTCTCTCTTCTAACTCCTGGGAGGCAACTTTTCCCTGGTTTTCCTTTTGCTTTTTGTTCCCTGCCTGCTTCCTTCATGTGCTCTTCTTAAATGCTGCTGGTACCCAGGATTCTGCTTCACTCTACATAACCTTTGGGAGTGTTCCCATCACAACCACTTATAGCCATTACCTGTGGGTGGAATAATCCTAAATTAATGAATCTAATCTTGTTACTCAGAAACTCATTTCTTCAACTTCCTGTTGGATATTTACCCCTAGGTGTCCACAGGTTTCTCCAACTCAACATGCTCCAAACTAAAATTGTCATCTTCCCTTCTAAATTGATGTTTCCTTCCTCCTGGGTAACTGACCTCAGTTAGTAGCATCACAAGCCATCTAGTTATCCAAGATAGACATGGAAACTCCGAAGTCCTACTAGAATGCTTTCTCTTATCTCTCTCTCATATTCAGTCTAGAGCCTGCCAATTCTATCTCCTACGCATGCCTCAAATATTCGCTATCCATTCTGTCACTGTTCCTTTTAGGTCTGCTTCCTCTTTACCTGAACAATAGTCTTCTTAAAAAAAAATATATATATATTTTATTGATTTTTTTACAGAGAGGAAGGGAGAGGGATAGAGAGTTTGAAACATCGATAAGAGAGAAACATCAATCAGCTGCTTCCGCACAACTCCTACTGGGGATGTGCCTGCAACCAAGGTACATGCCCTTGACCAGAAGGAATTGAACCTGGGGACCCTTCAGTCCGCAGGTTGATGCTCTATCCACTGAGCTAAACCAATTAGGGCTGAACAATAGTCTTCTGGATGGTCATTCTCTAGTCCTGTCCCCTCATATCCACTCCTCACAGCTGTCAAATCTGATTGTGTCATTCTTCTGCTTTCAACCGTTAGCAGCTCCCTGTTGACCAAAGGATAAACTTAAAATTTCTTCCAGTGGCTTATAGGCTCTCGATGACCTGGTCCTCACTTATCACTCTAGCCTTAATTTTTCACCAGAACATGCCCTCCATTTCTAGCTCTAACAACATATAAGTTCACAAGTCATGTCGAAATATGTACTCTTAATGTGATGTGATAAATATGACACATTACCTCTGTTATCTTCCTCCCCCAAACCACAGCCTTAGTCGAATCATGAGAACTGCATCTGACTAATTCCAAGAGAGGGGCATTCTATCATATACCTAATTAGTACTCCTCAAAATTGCCAAGTTCATCACAAACAAGGAAAACCTGAGAAACGGTCACTGCCAAGAGCAATAGAAGGAGACATGATAACTAAATTACTAAGGGAAATGTATCCTGGATGGAATTCTGGGGCAGAAAAGAGTCATTTGGTAAAAAATAAAAAAAAAATCTGAATAAACTATGGACTCTAGTTACTGTATCAATATCGGCTAATTAATTGTAACATATGCCCCATAGTAATGTTTTATGTTAATAATAGGGAAAACTGTGCAGGGGTTGGGAGGAGTAACATGGGAACTCCCTGTATTATCAGCACATTTTTTCTGTAAATCTAAAACTTAAAAAACTTACTAACAATAAAAGAATTTTTAAAAGGCAATGCTTAAAAAATGAAGGCTAAAACAACTATAACATTTTATAATTAAATAATCATTTATTGCAAAATTATTTTTCTGATATAGAGTCTGGGAAGGAAAAACTAATTGTCCAAATTTCTATAAACTGTAAAAAACAAAACCCCTCACTAATTAGGAGAAAATTATAGGAAATTTACTGTAATGAGGCCACAGGTTTGGAACAATAATTTCCTCTAATTGGATTTGTCAAAGTGTTCCTGCAGGGATTGATTTAATTCAATTCAATACACGTTTATTGAACACCTGCTATATGAAAAGCCCTCGGTAAATATAAAAGCTGAAGAAAACATGGTTTCTGAAACTAAAGAGGTTAGCATCCAGAAGAGCATTAACACATAACACAAATAAAAGGCAGAATGTGTGTGAGAATGAAATCAAAGAGGTCATTTCGAGAAGAGAAACAACACTGGGAGCATGCAAGACATTTGTAAGGACCGAGGAGGTTAGTTTGGCTGGAGCATGTGCTGGGGCAATCATGGCGCCAGGGACAGAGAGGGTTGAGGGCAGAAGGGATATAGCATGACCGAAGCCCAGCTACCACACACTAACAAGACAGAGCTGGAGCAATGGATGGAAAGGCAGAGGGGACTGCAGGCCCAGGTGGACGATGGGGTGAGGATCATGGCTTTCTAGTGAGAATAGAAAGGAGGGAGCACAAAAATACATGTCTTTCATTGTCCAGAATGTTGTGACCCTATACAAACTTCAATAACTATGGAAGCAGCAGATGTCCTTACTGACCCAGCTCCTGCCTCACATGTACTGTTCTGATACAGAAGGATGTCTCTCTGACTTGCTTAATATGATGCAAGTCAACCTACAGGTCTTTCCTTCCATCCTCCTATTCTATAAAGCTTTTAGTGTTTCCCGATAATAAAAATAGCACATGCTCATCATAAATTTGGGAATATCATAATATTAAAAAAGCCAACTGGATGGACAATCAAACAACAGGTTGCGTGGGGCGATAAGGCTGACTGGGGGCAGGGGGGCAGTTAGTGAGGGACGACCAAACGACTAAACAGAGGGCTGTGTAGAGTGACCAGGCTGGGGGGTGGGGGGGGGACTTGGAAGTGACCAAGCCAGTGTGGGGGGACAGTTGAAGGTGTCCAGGCCAGTGAAGGAGGTCACCTTGGGGGTGACCAGGCTGGCAGGGCGGGCAGTTTGGGGCAACCAGGATAACAGTGGGGGCAGTAAAGGGTGACCAGGCTGGCGGGGGGAGGAATAGCAAAGGGTGTCCAGGCCTAGGGGAGGGCAGTTAGGAGTGACCAGGCTGACAGAGGGGGATAGTTGGGGGCAACCAGGTTGGCAGGGAGGCAGTTCAGAGGCAGTTAGGAGTGATTAAGCTGGCAGGGAGGGTAGTTAGGGGTGACCAGACAGGCAGGCAGGCAGGCACACAGTTGAGCAGTTAGGAACCAGTGGTCCCGGATTGTGAGAAGGATGTCCAACTGTGGGATTGGGCCTAAACTGGCAATTGGACATCCCCTGAGGGGTCTCAGATTAGAGAGGGTACAGGCTAGGCTGAGGGGACCACCCCCCACTCCCTGCATGAATATCATGCATCGGGCCTCTAGTGCATAAAATAAAAAGCCCTTAGAGTTGTATAATCCAGAGGTGATCATTGTTATAGTTTTGCTCTATTTCCCTCCATTCATTTTTCTATGCTTGAGTCACTGGGAAATAGTGTAATCTGCTATTTAGGGAAGATAATCTTAGTTATGTATACTATTATAGGTTATACTTCGTGCTATAAATATGAAACCAGCACTGCACACAGAAAAAGGTGTTTGGTTTTTAAGCCTCCTACACATCAGGATCTGCAGCTGTTTGTCTCAATGGCTGGGCTACATTTCTGAGGAGCTATCCTCTTAATGGTAGTGCCCTATGTTGCAATATATTTTTATTTCTGTTCTAAAAATATATAGCACAAAAGGTAAAGGTTTACCTTAACAATAGAAAATGAAAGTGATAAGAATGTATATAAGAAGCACTTGAACTCTAAAATACCCTTCTTTTAAAGAAGCAATTGTTTTATAATGGATTTTTTAATATGAGAAGTTTTTAAGGCATGCAACTATCCCACTGTAGCAGAATTGATTGTATATATTTTATACTCACAAAAACTGAATATATCTACCAAATTGTAATACATTTATAACTTGCTTTTTTCTCTGAGCATGTCTTGTTTACAATTAAGTATTTTAGATATTCTTTTATGGGTGATCATTTCAATCTGTCTAAAATTTACCAATTTTCTAAGAGCCACGGCAGGTTTTGCCTCCACTCTAACCATTCAAGGGTAGTATGTTTATTATTTCTCAAGATTATAGTAATAGAGCTCTAGATTGTTTTAGTAGACTGTACTCTGTTTCCTTTCCAAATCATCTTGCTGAAATGATTCTCTCAAACGTAGCACCATTACGTCACTCCCCAGCTCAGCACACCTTTGATGCTTCCCCAATGGCTACATGGTCAAGTGCACATTCTTGTTCTTGTCTCACCAGTTCAGACTTCCCTCCTCATACACCCCACATTCCCATTAGTAAACTCAACCTTCTAGGCCTTTACTTCCACCATCCCCCTATGTTCTTTTCTATCTCGATGACAGTGATATAGAAAGAGACAGTGACAGTGACACGTCTTTCCTCTGGACTAGGCTGTAAACCCTTTGAAGCCTGGACTTGCAGTTTAACAAAAGTAAATGGAAACCAAAGTCTCTGAAGACCAACTTCATTCCAGATGTCATGTGAGGTATTAAGAGTAGACAGAGGCCATACCAGCAGACAGCAGCTGCATGTTGCTGAAGGATGCCCAGGACCAAACCAGAGGCAGTCGGACCTGCATCACCACCATTTGTCCACCAACCAGATCTGAAATATCATGGCTGACATGTACACATAAGGAACTGTTTGACATTGAAATTGGGACTCAAAAGAACTGTTTGTCCAGAAAGGAACTCACTACAGACTGACTCATTTGCCTCTCAGCATAACCATTATGGCTTGTCTCAGTTTCGGTTCTTAAAAGGGTATTTCTTGGATCACATACATCTAGAGGAAATAATGAACTACATAAACTGATGAACAAAAATAGACCCAGAGAAAGAGAAGCAGTGACTCTCAAACCTCAGAGGGAAAGTAGGGGAGGATGGAAGTACGGGGCAGAGATCAACCAAAGGACTTGCGTGCATGCATATGAAACTAGCCAGTGGCCATGGACAACAGGGAGGTGGGAGCATATTTGGGGAGGGGTATGGGATGGGAATGGGGGGATGAGGACAATTATGTGATACCATAATCAATAAAATTAAAAAAAAAGAGTAGAGAGAGGAATAAGGCACAGTTTTCATCCTCAGGGACCTCACAGGGACTCAGTATGTACTAAATATCCCAATTTGAAGCACTACATGAAACTACAGGAATCCACTCGAGGGACAGTGGCAGCACAGAGTGGGGCCAGGCTTCACTAGTTCAGGCTGGGCTGTGTGTAGGTGATTTCTAAAGGACTGTAGAGTGCCAGACGGCAACGTGGAAGTGTAGTATGGTCTCTTCGGGCGATTTTAGAAATGTGGGTGTTTCTGTATCAGGGGAAGAGATGGATTCACAGCCTTGCAAAATAGGACAGGAGGCTTAAAAACCAAATGCAATTTAACATCCTTCCAAGGCTGCCTTTGGATATTCCACCAAATATTGATTTTTACCTTGAAATTTTCCATGTATAATTTCGTCTCTTTCTAACTAGAATCTAAGCGTTTGGAAGGCAGAATTCAGGTATGCACTTCTTGAATGTGTCTCAAAGCCCTCAGTATGATGTCTAATACACAGCGAGAGTTTTACCAACCTTTCGAATTCATTACCTGCCCTCATCCTGATAGTTGTACACTCAGTGCTTAAAGGGAATTTGAAACATCTGTGAGAAGAACGAACGGATGCTGAGTCGAGACAAAAACCGAGAAGACCAGCATTTTTGCAGAAATGTTCCGGATTAGTGATTTTGCCTCTTACAACAATTTTTATTTGCTGTTAAAAAACACTATAATGAAATTTGTTTCAAAAATGTCATCTTTTTTGCATATTTATAGTTGTTAATAACTGGGTAATCAACAGTAAAATAACAAGAATGGCTTTTTCTGTGACGATAATTGGATTTGCCTCTCAGAATTGCTTATATGTCATGATCATTAATCAGTGGAAGACATTCCCTGTAGACTGGCCAGCCCTGTGTATCCAATCCCTGCTGGAGAGGACAGTAATTTATAGCCTGAAATGGTATCTTCTCTATAGGGAGTGAGTGTGGTGTGATGACTAATCCTAGTAGCCAAGCCAAAGAAATGGAGGTGAATGAGGAGTGAAGTTGGAAAGTCAGCATCAAAGTTACAGCAAACAAGAACAACGGCTTCTATTTTTTTTTTTTTTTTGAGGAAATGAGAGGTGCATGTGAGTGGGACTTTTGTACGAATGTGTTTGTTTGAATTGGGAAAGCAAAGGGGGAAAAGGAGGGGTTCTTTCATCATATCTAGTCCCAAGAGGAAAAGAAGTGAGCTTCCACTTCACTGAAAAAGAGAAAAGAAGAAAGGGTATACATACTAAGGGAATTACAGGTAGATATAAATATGGATACAAATATCCAAAAAGAAGACTGCAAAGAGGCTGTCAGAACATATATGGTAAAGACATAGGTCACAGGAAAAAGAATCACATAAATGAGAGAATGAAGACGATGAAATAGAGAAGCTTGATGGACAGATTTAAGTCAGACACTCAGGAGTTTCCTGCAGGATTATCTGATTCCTGATTCTTTTTTGGGATGCTACCCCACACTACCACATGCATTCCTCTTTATTTAGCGGTGATGGAACATGTCTTGGGTTGTTCATTTTAACCCTAAAACGTCATTGCTCATAATTCTACTCTTCCAGGTCCAGGGGGACAGTCTCTCTGGCTATATCATTTGCCCTGGAAATGACAAGAACCAAGAAAGCATCACCAAAGAGACAGTACCTGGATAGAGAACAGGCCATTGTTGAAACGCCCATTTATTCTACTAGTAAGTGACTGTGTCTATGAGGAGAGATAGTTATAGACCTATGCTCTCATGAAAAGACGAATCCCCAAAGTTGATGGATCCTCATAAACAACCTTGCATTTAACTCATATGTCTCATCCTTTCATTTTGGAGACCTAGCCATCCCTGGTCCTCATTTAACAAGCTGTGCTCTTACATCAGTCTGGGTATGTCGCTGACAGCCACTGTCCCATCATGGGTCTCACTCTCTCCATCTTCCTCCTCTTCATCACTGCTTTCCGACTCCTCGCTGGAGGAGGAGTAATCGGTCACTTTCTTCAGCGGGCGGTTTGTTTCTTCAATCCGGAGTTCTCGTAATTCTTTGGCTAACGCCGTCAGATCCTACGAGAGAAAAGTTTGTTCGGCATATGTGAATTTTAGATATGACCAAAGTGACTGACATGTCTCAATAAGTCAGTGACCCAGCATAAGCAACAAGAAAAAAAAGCTCTCTAAAAGCTCTCTATAGAATTGTTACAAACATAGTTACTGCATGGAACTAAGAAAACGATGTTTGTAGCATGTGGACACTAGAAAAGATGAAATAGATTTAAACTTTGTTCAAAACCAATTGCTAGACTGAGATTTTTAAAATCCGAATACAATGGTGTATATATGTATAGGTATTGTGTGTGTACACATATATACAAACATTTGGGCCCTTGTTTTATTTTGGGAAGGTGAAGTTGGTCACCCTCAGGTTAATGGGAAAATGCACGGATTAGAAATTGTTCCCCAGTGTGGTGGGGCTCCTGCCCAAGCCACGGTCATGGCCTTCCCCCTCCTATGATTGCTACTGCACCAAAATCTAGCATCAGTCACAGAACAGAGCAATTCCCAAGATTCCAGCTACAACAATGACTCATCTGGTGTGTCATCATTCCCTGGAGAGCGGAGGCTCACACCGAGTAATGGCCCAACCAACCCAAAGCCCAGTGCCACTGACATTTATAGCCACGGAGCTTGAATTAATCAAGAAGAACGACACACAAAAAAAGGAGTTCTCTTCCAGAATTATCTTTTGGTTTAAGTTGCAGTCCCCTGGCAGAAACCCTGGCAAGGACTTCGGAAATGAATGTGCAAACACCAAAAGGAAGAGATCATTTTTCAGTTTTCCATGAGTATGATGAAACCTCTAGCCTGATGGATGTGATGATGTGGTAGTTAATCACCAGGCATATTGCAGGCAGTGTGCGGAATATCTGACCACCTTTGATTTTACATGCTTTCCGAGCAATGCAGAGGGAAGCAGTTCTGCAAAAGCATGGCGGCTCTAATTTGCATGGGTTAAACTGCCCATGGCATACAGCATGCAAATGAGGAAAAAGCAATTTGACATCAGTCTTACCATTTCTCCCTATATTAGTGACCCATGTGGGAATCAGAACATTCAGTGAGAGACAGGGCATTAGGGAGAAAGAAACTCATTGAAAGATACTAAATCCCAATTTTCTTTTGGCCATATTCTCTCTTTATTTCAACCCAGAAATGTATTTGATTCACCTGATGTAGGATTATGGCAATGTAAATGATCTAAATGACATTTTGATAATCTAATTCTAATTGGTTAGAAAAAATGTGATTAAAGTGTATAATTAAGTTATAATTTAAAATACTTTTTTTTTTTTTTTTTAAAGAAGACAATAGAGTATCATGTTTCCTTATTGTCTGTTGCCTATATGTCAAGCATTGATTAAGGCCAGGAAAGGAAACCCTAGGCATTTTATTTGGTCTGGAATTTAGGAAGTTCAAGGTGTTAAGTAGAGCTGTTTCTTTCTAATTTCATAGAAACCAAAGGGAAAGCAATAATGACTTTTAATTTTGTCCTAAATTTGCTTGAATTAAAATCTTTGGAAAAGGGAAGCTTTTGAAATTCAAATTGTGCATTTTTCACCCAAACATGCTCTCTGAGATTTTACACATGTGCACAGATTAGGTGCATACACACATGGCCTCGGTCTGAGTATCTGTCCCATTAATGAAAATGAAATAGAATTTTCATTTTAAAAGGTGTTTAAAAGGTACATATTAAAAGGTGTTTAAATGTAATGTATAGCATTAAAGAAGAGGAAAATTATCACACAGAATTTTATGCAAAGTTATTTCTGGTTTCTTTGGCAATGGGCCAAAATAAGGAAAACTAATATTCGAATTTCACCTTTTTACTTCTTATTTCCTCTTTGTTTCTCTCTTATTTCCTCTTGCCAACTGTTTATCTTAATCAAATTAAGAACAAAATAAAGGGTATGCTATACTTAAGCGCAGAGGGTAAATATCATTTAGATATTTGTTAAGGCTATGAATGAAAAAGGATATTATTATCCTCCAAACCACTAAAATAATAACAATTTGGATAAACTTTGTTTTTGTCTTCAGCATGTAGGATCATGCTAAGTCTCATCAAACAATATAACTGGTATTTAAAATGTTACTGGTCATTAAAAATACATTTTATTATGATTTAAAGAGAGAATATGGTTTAAAATAGTTTGTTTCTAATGTTAATAATTCTGAGTAAAATATATTAACTATGATTTACTTAAGTAAATAATAAACTTTTCCCATGGGTTGATTTTCCCATCTCTGACATTTCAAAGCAAGACAAAGGAAATTAAGAAAATATTAGAAGTATTTAGCTGGCCCGAAGTCCATTAATTTAAAGCAACCCTTGTTAAAATGACCTAAACTTCTACAAACACTGTATTTAGGAATACTTTAAAGTTCTGAGCTACTTTATAATTTTGCTTTTAATTAGATAGTTTTTGATTCTGCATTATTAAAAACCTATCTTTACTGAAACATTAAAAATAATTGCAAATTCCTTTTACGTTTAATTGGTTACAGCCTGAAGGGTGAGGCATATATGAAAAGCTATAGGTAACAATGAGTAACTCAAAAGTAATAACTCCAGTAAAAAAAAAAAATAATCTATTGCCAATAGTCTATGTGTTTAGCTGAAGTTTTGTTTCTTATCCATTCTGGAAGAACTTACAGTAGCAAAATTGTAAGAAACAGACATGATCTAACACTGACACCACTGGGTTCAGAACCATTTTCATACATTTTATTTTCTGACAATACCAATTTTCTCCACATAATGAGTTTTTGTGGTAATTTATTGCTTGGTTGTCTCAAGCCTGGAGCTAAAAAGTATTAAAAAAAAGGGGGGGGGGAGTGCTATTTAGCTTGGAAATATCTGAGAATGTATAACTATAAAAGAAATATGGCAAAATTGTAAGTTTTTTTCGATTATCGAGTAAATGTGAATATAGTTAAGAGGCTCTTACCTAACAGTTTCTTTGATATAATACTTTTTACAATCAACTTGATATAATTTATTCCAAAAATCATAATTAATCTGATAATTATACTTTACCTAAAACGAAGCACTTTTAAGAAATAATATAATTTATTCAAATTTTGAACAATTAAAATAATAGTTAAAGTTTTAAAGCTGGCCTTTTCTTTAAATATTAAATAATTTTTTATTGCTCCAAGTTTTGTCCAAACTAGATGTGCTCTGGAATTTTTCAGATTCCTACATTCTAAAGAAAAAACTAGTGATAAAGCCAGTGTTTGCTTGCACCATAATCCTCATGCCATATATTTCATTAGGCTAAAGCAGTGGTCGGCAAACTCAATAGTCAACAGAGCCAAATATCAACAGTACAATGATTGAAATTTCTTTCGAGAGCCAAATTTTTTAAACTTAAACTTCTTCTAACGCCACTTCTTCAAAATAGACTTGTCAGGCGTGGTATTTTGTGGAAAAGTCACACTCAAGGGGCCAAAGAGCCACATGTGGCTCGCGAACCGCAGTTTGCTGACCACGGGGCTAAAGTAAAGCGAATATACATTTTCAAAGGTTGTGTGAATCCATCACAGGCTATGCTGCACAATCTCATATTGCATTAGAGTGTAATGCCAAATTAATGGAAATTCCCCCAAGTGAATTTTTTTGTTGTTGTTGAAAAATCACACCATTAAATTAGCAACAAGTTTTCAAAAGTGCTTTAAGACTTTTCATTGCAATTCTGGGTTATCTAAATGTCAATTTAATCAGAAAAGCCGTATCAAAATCTAGGCATGGAGATGGGGGGAGGTTTAATTCAAGGTTTCTTAACTGTGGCACTGCTGACATTTGGGGTTGGAGGATTCCCTACTGCGAGCTGTTCTCCTGGGCTCTGTGGGATGTTTAGTAGTATCTCTTTTTTGCCCACAGATGCCAATAGCACTTCTCCCATTTCCACGTTGTGACAGCCAAAACTGCCTCCAGACTTTGCCAAACGTCACTGAAGTAGAGGAAGGAAGGAAGTCATCCCTGATTTAGAACCACTGAGTCAGGCAGAATCAAGTAATCCTGTCTTTTTAGTGGTTTGGAGCAGTGATACCCAGGGGAGGGTTATCAGAGTTACCTGGAAGGATTTTTTTTTTTTTTTAATTACACATGGCCTTAGAGATTTTAGTAAACAGCTCCCAACCCTCATCTAATCACTTATAATTACTTATACTACTGCTGTGCCCTCTCATCTCTGCCCAGTGTGCTAGAATATATCAAAATGAAGCAATTTTTTTAAAGCCTAAAATATCATGATAAAATTCCACGAGAAACCTTATAGCAGCCACCTTCACGCCAAACTCACTCATGATATTTCCCTTGGATTGTGCACACACACACATTCTATTGGTAGCCAGAACACCAGAACATGGTCCTCTTTCTTCAATTCTTTGAGAGAAAACTAGTGATAATCCCTGTCCTTCTCACTATTATGAGGAAAGGAACAAGGCCATAGCACAGAGCAATTTAAAACCTTTCCCTTTTTCCATTCTATAAGTGCCACCTACACATTGTAGACATGTAGAGCTTCCCTCTTCTGTAAGCAATTATCCTTTAACCATAAAAATTACTTTCTAAATCACTCTAAGTGGTGGGGCAGTCATAATGCTGAAAAAGTAAGGCTTTTTAAGTAAAGATCAGATGCATAGAAACATGCTTCTCCCACCTGCCAAAATAGCCCATACCTCTGGCCTGAACTTTAAAATGAGGGTATCCTCTTGGCTTTACATAGTGTTTCATACTTCATAAAATGCCCTTGCACACAATCATGTGAACAAGGCAGTGCAGGTATTTTTATCCTCATTTTACAGATGAGAAAACTGTGGCCCAGAGAGATTTATAAGACTGGTTGGTCCCAGCCAGTTATGTATTGGGGGAGCTAGAATTTGAATACAGCTTGTTGTCTTTAGAAACAGTGCTTTTTTCATATTATTTCACAAAAATGGTGCTTAGCAGAGCCACAGCCTTAAAGCCACAATGGTAGTCTTCAGATTCCATGCAGTTAGGTCTCTTTGCAAGGCTTATCTCTTAAAAAACAAAAAACATACAAAAAACCCCCACAAAAACACAAAAAAACAAAAAAACCAATAAAACAATCCTTCAGTAGGCTGTATTCATGCAGGTCTGACAAACAGCAGTAAGGCGGTCATCCTTCTTAGCAAGCTAAGATCGACAAAGCCATATATTTTTCTAATGGAAAAATGTCTCCATGAATAAGGAAATAAAGTCACTTAGTTTGCCAGTATTCATTAACTAAAGTTGCTGTTGATGCTGTAGTTAATGTTCCACAAAATTAATCTAACAATACCCAATAATTCCTTGTTCACAAATCACACACTATAAATTCTGAGTGCCCTAGAATAATGTCTTTTTTCTTTGTTAGTAAAAACACCATCTTGTAGCAAGGCTAGGGTTTGCTATTCGACGGTACTAGAATAAGACACTGTCAATAATAAATCACTGATGCTTATCTTTAGCCAGACTGCAACATTGGAAAAGTGACATTGCGCCTTAGGAGGAGGGGGTCTGGAGATGTGTGAGGGCCTTAGCGTGGCTTTGTCCAAGGGGCTCTTCTCCCAAGAGATCACTCCAAATGAGTGAGCTTTCAAATCTGTAACTCAATGGACCACTTTTCTGGATGTCAGCATCATAAAATTGATATCATATTGATATTTTTGTAAAAGCACGACCAAAGAAATATAATACTAACCTCATCTATAGCTTTCTTATAGCTCTGAGATAAGAGGAACGCAGTCCAGAAGAATCCACAGGAAATGAAAAAGCCAGAAGAAAGGCAGCAGGTTAGACACAAAACAGGAATTGTTAGTACACAACCAATAAATGCAAAAGAGCAAAGAGAACTTCAACCCAGAAGAGTAAAGATTCTTCTTCTTATTACTTTCACTATGCTCCCTTATTTTAAAATATTATTAACAGAGTAAACAAAAAAGTCTTCACATTTATTTCATAGAAAAGACTAGAGTGGCCTTAAATTTGTGCATGAGTGGGGTTCCTCAGTCTGGCCAGCAATCAGGATGGTGGGAGGCTGGCCAGGGGAGGGGTTGTGGAAGGTGGGCTATGGGAGGGCACTGACCACCAGGGGGCAGCTCCTGCATTGAGCATCTGCTTAGGCTTTTATATATATAGATACTTAGAAAATTTAGGTGGAGAGTAACTCATCCAAAATTAATTTTTAACTTTCAAATTCCAGCCTCCAGGCTCTTATTTCTGTCTTTACGGCCACTTGGGATCTGTAGTGTCACAGCACTGTAGCTACAATTCATGTTATCAGGCCCCCTAGCAGACCATGCTTATCAGTTTTTAGTTCCAAAAATATAGTCCTAGAGGCATGAAACACAGCAGAAAAATTGTAATATTAACTCATGTGGAAAATAATATGGAGAAAAGGCAAGGCTGACAAGGGAAATCCTTAGAAAGTACCCAAATCTTCTTCACTGCTAGTTTCAACACTTTTTGGCCAAATTTGAGTAGAAATTATGGAACAAATGATATGAATTATTTGCTAATGATCACCAAATCCATAAAGGCAGATAAGCAATCTGATATCTGTTCAGCTCTTTCACCATCAGGTAGGTCTTCCTTCTGGCTGCTTCTGCTCATTAATCTCAAGATATTTTGTTTCATAGTCATGAGTGTATCCCCAATTACTTAATCTGTGGGTTTTCTGGTGAATTAAAAGCTCAGAACTCCTTGAGAGAAAAGCACTCACAGCTGGTCGACCAGATCGGGTAATGTCCCTGGATTCTTCTGGCTTCACCTTGGAAGGCTCATGGGGGAGCACAGGTGATCCTTCCGACTTGCTGTTGGCTAGAGGAAAACACAGAGGGCCCAGAAAGATAATGACTGTCAGAAAGTGCTGGCTCAAGTTCCAGAGTTCTATGTGAGTCATCCTTTAGGATTACTCAGCTGACCCATTTGCTAAGGTACATCCTCAAGCAAATCCATGAAAAACAGTAAATGTTTAGGCAAACTAAATCAAGCAAACACACTAGTGGAAGTTCACTAGTAATAATAAGAGGAACTAGTATGCATGATCACCATTACCATTTACTGAGCATTAATTGTGTGTCAAACCTAGTGCTACATGCTTTCTACATCAATTCTTGTTCCAACCCAAATGATGTGGCCCATTTTCCTATTTTTACAATTGAACACATATTTAGAGAGATAACACACTGGTTTAAGGTCACATTGAAATTATGGTCAGAGCTGAGATTCTCTGATTTCTCAAAGTCCTAGTCTTAAGATTCAATGTTTGCTTTCTTTTACCACTTACCCATGAGGATAAGTTATTTTGATGGAATTTTGTGGGGGAAAAATCAGAAACTCATTTTATTTGGTGGAATAGTTTTTAAATGAGTGTGTGGAGAGAGTTGTCTGGGTCCTTTAGGGAAGAAAGAGTGAGGTGAGTGTTGATGATAAAGGAGAGGGAACCTGGGATAGAGATGCAGAGCATGGGTTGTGGAGGGCTCCCTGACAGTTACAGGGAGAAGAGCATCCCTTCCATCTATGAGCTTATAGGTGGAGAAGAGTAATCTAGGGTTTTTTCTAGAACAGGGACAGAGATACAAGAGTGGGTTTGATCCAGAAGAACTAGGAGCCAAAGGAAAGAAGATAAGACTTAAACCTGAACCAGATCAGAGAATTTTCTTTAGCATTTACTCTTACTACAGATATTAAGTTATCAACAGAAAAAGGTAAGGGAATTCTCAATTAAGTAAATTTATATTTGGATCAAAGCAACACAAATATACACAGCTGTGGGCTGTGCCACCAACGTTAGAAGAATGCATACAAGGGCAGCCATAGACCAGTCTGTAACCCAGTTCAGAGACAGGATTATCACATTTAAAAACGGACACATGGTGACTTTATTTATTTAAAACCTTGAAAAGATTTAGAAGGTAAATAATGATTGTGTCTAGTGAAAAGGCTAAGAAAAGCGTGCTAATATTTATCAAATTGCACTTTAAAAAGTCCTGGTCTTTCTTATTTGGAAGAAAAATTATCTTCTGAAGAAGGTTACGGTATTCAGAAAGAGTAAATTTAGATTAGCTAGAACAATGTGCTGTTGTATATAATTAGCTGGACATGCTAATGTCTTTCACAAGCTTCCACATTAACGGAAACTGAACAATGATGAATGACTTGAATTAAATGGTCAAAGGCTAATTTTTTTCTCTCCAACAGGAATAACCAGAAGAGTTAAATATCTATTTTAAGTTAAAATTTTATTTCTTCTCAAAAAAATATATATACTAGAGGCATGATGCATGAACTTTGTGCAAGGGGCTTGGCCTTCACAGCTTTGTCCAGAAAGTTGCCCAGAAGGACATCCAGAAAGATTTCTGGAAGGTCATTTGGCTGACAGTCTAATTAGCATATTAAGCATTTATTATTATAGATATATTCTACATTAGTCTTCATTGCATTTCACTTTGAAAAATAACTAGTATTGCCCTAACTGGTTTGGCTCAGTGGATAGAACCTCGGCCTGTGGGCTGAAGGGTCCCAGGTTCAATTCCGGTCAAGGGCATGTACCTTGGTTGCAGGCACATCCCCAATGGGGAGTGTGTAGGAGGCAGCTTATTGATGTTTCTCTCTCATCAATGTTTCTAACTCTCTATCTCTCTCTGTAAAAAAATCAATAAGATATATTAAAAAAAAATAAAAATTATAGTATTATGAACTATGTTCAGAATACAAAAAGGGACTATTGGCACAATGGGAAGAGGATTCTTGGGGGTACAGGAGACACAAAGCAGGAAATCAAATGGAAATGAAAATTCAGTGACTGGTAAGTGATTATATTTTCAAATAATCCCAATATTCTGTGATCTCCCTGCAAAACATTGGTACCTGTGATTAGAAAGGGTCTAGTCCACACCAGACATCACATCATTGGGGATGGTGACCCGCTCCTCTAAGGATATTGAGGCTGAGAGCAGTTAAGAGGCTTTTCAGAAACACACAATGGTGGCAACGCCAAGAGCATATGTCACAGAAGTCAGGAAGTAGCCGACTCCCCGCCCATGGCTCTCCTGCCCAGGCCATGTTGTCAGGGAGAAGCAAGGGTAAGCTTTACCTCGAACCCTGGTCCGTTCACTGGACCCTGCTTGTGATCCGGGCTGTGAGCCGCCTTGGGAGCTGGGCTGGGAGCTGGGGGTGCTGGAGCTGGACGAACTGCCACTGCTGGTCCTCTGCAAGGGGCTCTCCAAGATGGGCTCAGTTCTCCTCAGGTCAGGGTTGCTGCAAGGATGGCAGAGCACAGTGACTATCCTCTCAAGACTTGGCCCCCAAACAATTTTTTACACCTTTCTCCATATTTTTATGACACTCCTTTGTATGGTAACTATTTTTGTGAAAAGTGTTAGCATCTAATTAATTAAAATAGATTTTGATCCATACTGGAAATACCCTCAATGTAGAGAATACCTGCAATGATCAATGTATAATATTTCTGAAATATTCTGTATTTCAAATTTTTCATAACGAATACAATCTCATGTTCTTTAATTCCCAAATAATGAATTATTCCCATTGTCCTCTTTTACTAAACAGTAGTGATCAGGAATTATTTATGAATTATTAATAAATTCCCAAAGTATTTTTTCTAAAAATTGTATGGCTAACCAACTGTATTGCAGATTGAAGGTGATGGGCATACGAAAGCATCTTGGTAGTTGCTCTCATTTTGTGGAATGGTAAGGTAGTGTTCTTTGTATTAAAAGAAAATCTACTGAGAGAAGTGTGGCTATGGGCTCTGACTTTCCCCCCCAGGGTTGGTGGTGTGGATCTAGCTATTATATTAGCTCTCATGTAGCACTCCTTTGATCATGTAACCAAAACCTTTCTATTAAGCACCTACTTTGTGAGACTCATTAGCCTGATATGAGGGATGGAAGAGAGCACAGGTCACAGGGCAGTCAAGTTACAACCCAATCCTATGCATGAGTGTGAGCCCTAGAAATAATAAAACAAGGCAAAACTTTGTGTAAAAGTTTACCAATAGGATTGGATTTTGGAGAAGAATGAATGCAGTTTAGAGCAGGCAAAGTGGGGTCAGGAAAGAGATAGGCTTTGGGCCCTGGAGGAGGGGGCAGGAAGGCTGAGGGAACAGCCTGAACAAAGACACAGGGGCTGGGGTTTTCCTAGGGCTTATTGGTGTAAAGAGGGCACCACTTTGGTGGAGCCCCAAAGTCTGTGTTAGGAAAGAAACCCTGGGGCAGTGAAGCAATGGCCTACAGAGCCTGGCAGAGAACATGGGTCTCCCAGGGTAGGCTTATGAATGAGTGGCCAGGAGAGAGGCAGGCTGACCAGGTGGGATGCTGCTGTCACAGGTGATAATAAGGCATGAGCCAGGGTTGTCCTAGGATAAAAGAGGGATATGGATATTGGCAGAACCAGCTGGGATGAGCGTGCATTTCTGATGGGACTCAGCCTTTTTTTTGGGGAAGCTAATTGGTTCCCATGGGCATTAAATCCGTGACCCGAGTGTCATTAGCACAAGTCCTCCCCAAGTAGCTAGCCTGCATGGATGCTGATCTTAACAGGGTTGCTATTTTTGCCACTGAAATCTGAAAAAAGAACTTCATTTCTATGTAACCACACATAGAAATAGGAAAACTTTAAAAATGCCATTTCTGTCTTAGTTTTGTATGAACTATGAGTATTTTGAGAGAGAAAAAAGTCATACTGTTCAGATTTTTCTCTTCCTTATTATGTAGAAATAAATGGTCTGGCATTGGGGCCAAGAGGTCTGAGATAAATGCTCTTAGAGGAGATCAATTTCAGAAGAATTCCATGAGATAACAGATTTCGCTTGTTCACACATTAACTGAACCTACTCAGATTAAAATGTGTAAAAACTTGACAACATTCATCTAGCTTTCTTTAAATGCTAACTTTTAGTTCAGATGTTTGCCATCCCACAAACAATGCTGCTTTGTCTATGAAACATACAGTAAAATGAAAAAAAATGTGGCAATTTTTCCACTTACTTAAATCATATAAAAAGTCAAAACATAAAATTAGGATTACAAGTGCTTTCTTGGCCCAAACACTTGGGCCAAGTCTATAATTAACTGGCTGGCTGCCAAAATTCACTTTACTGTGTTCTTTGATGACACAGCCAATGCGGATAAAGGAGTCATAAGAAGACAGGTTTGGAATGGGACAGAGAATTATTTTTTGAAATTAAGCATTTACTTATTGAGTTTTACTGGGAGTTTCAGGCTTCATTTAAATTTTTTCATATTCCGAATGTACTTATCTGAGCAAATTTTAATTTGCTTTAAGAGAACACATGAATCAAAGTTGACTATTCAAGTCCCTGAGATTTTTAAATATATATATATATATATATATATATATATATATATATATATATATATATAATATATAAAATATATCTTGATGCATCACCTTGACAACATAAGGCATTTGAGAGTCCACAGGGCATCTGAGAACGCCCCTTTGAACCAGCAGCCTTCATAGGCCTAACTGCACACACTGAAGAAGAAAGGGCAGGGAACAGTCAGGGGACATAGTGTTTTCACCTAGACTTTAGCCATCCAGGAAGGAAACAGTTAAAAGCGCATGATGATACTAGTAGTTCCAGCTTGAGTAGAGAAATTTGGGGGGGTATACATGGACCCCATGGGACATAGCTTTTAAATGGTAGTGAATATCACAAGATGAGAACCAATAACCATAAGATGAAGATGAGCTGTTAACAGACTCACTAAATCACACAGCGAGAAAGGAAGAGGCAAAACAGTGCCCTGTCGGTCCACAGGTCACAAGACCCCTTCTCTTGGGAAAACGAGGCAGCAATGACAGCTGCGTTCACTACTGGAAGATTGGCGTGGTGCCTGAGTGAGGACTTGGGTGCAACACTACCAACTTCCAAATGTTGGCTCTATCGCTTACTAATTTTGTCACCTTGGGTAATTTATTTGTGTTCATGTCCGTTTCTGCATCTATAAATTGGAGTTGATTAGTCACTACTTCGAAGAGCTGTCATAAGGCTTAAAGTAGTTAACATCTCTAATGCACATGGACACTGAACAGAACTCTGCATTGATAGGTGTTCCAGAGTGTTTAATGAATAAGGAAATAAATATTAAATTGCCCCAAACCAAGCAGAAGGCAGGGATCCACAGGGGTGGCCCAATAACATTTTCTTGACTGACACCAGCACAGATGTACCTCCTCCATACAGTATCTATATAAAAACCTAGTATTCAACAGGGCTCTTGGATTTGGAGTGGCATATGCAGACTGGGAGAGTGACAATAACAGGGATTTAGTTTTTCTGGGATAAGGAAGGCTATTGAAACAGTAAAGTTCTGATTTTCCCCTCAAGTTACAGGTCCATGCTTGCTTAGGCCAATTTAACCCAAGAGTCTTCTATTCGGGATGCTAAGTAGTTTATTGATTAAAACATATGGCTATATAGTGTCTTGCACCCAGTAACTGGAGCTCATTAGTATTGGATTTAGGAAGGGAAAACTGTACTTCTTAAGCATTGGGCTCTGCCTTTTGATTCTTCTCCAACTGGGGACTTGGGAACTCAGAAATATGATTTTTCCTCTAATAATACCTGTAATATAAAAGAGCAGCAGGAATATTATATCCTCTGACCCATGGGCCTGTGAGTCAGGCAGCCTCAGTTGAATCACTGGGTCCCAAGGCAACACATAGCCTTGCATACAGTGGATCCTCAATAAATGTTTGCTAAATTTAGCCAATGAAATAAAAATATTGATAACAGAACCTATCCCTTATTACATGTGTAATCTTTCTTAGGGACGCATTCTAAATGTGCTAATTTTCTAGTCTCCCTTAACAGCCATTTCAAGGAAAAGGCTAGGAGGACATAAAGGAATATTGACCAAGTACAAGAAGTGTAGCTTAGCGGCATGGTAAATGATGAATTATTTAAAAGCTATCTTTTTAATGGCTTTGTGGCTGGGCAGCTGTCTGACAAATGCTACAAAAAGAACTCTGAAGACCTCATTCAGGCCATCAGAAAGCAGAAGAGTCTTTGTATTACAGTAATGGCCCTCAGTGAATCACATCTCCCATGTCCATGCACGTGTACTCCTTTATGCATTAACTCAAGGCTTGACCATGTGACCTGTGGAGGCCAATGGGCCATCAGCAAGATGATGCAAGAAATGTCTTGAAAAGCACTTGTGCACTGGACACAGTAAAGAAGCCCAGGATGACGGACCACATGGAGGTGCAGCTGACAACCAAACAGCTCAGTGCTGCTGCATGAGTGAGCTCAAGTGAGACCAACACTTCTTTGCAAACACATAGAAATAATAAATTGTTATTATTTCAGGCCACCACATTTTAGGGTGCTTTGTTATACAGCAAAGATGAACTACAGCTATCTCTATTTCAATAAAGAAAACACACCCTCAAGTTTTTAAAAACGCAATGTAATCCAGAGTTGCAAAGTCTGATTCAGGCCTGAAATGTTGGTCACCTGGAGACACGTGATAGCTAGAAGAAGGGGGTTGTGGGACTGTTCCAGTGGCAAAGATGAGGATTTTTCCATCCTCCCTGTCCTCCACAGACTTTCAATGTAGGTAAGTGATTTTTACCTCTTATTCACTCTTTTCCTACCTCCTCATAAAGCCTGCATTCTTTGCACAAAGTATAATATTTAAGTGGTTCAGAGGGAAAAATGCATGTTTTGCAAGCCACTGACCATCAAAATGTCAACCGTCTTAGTCCCTGACATTATTAAAATAACACTTAACGGGGAACAAAGAGCTGCTTTTAATTTGACTATATGACAATAGTTCCCTTTCTTTTTCGCTATTAGAAGGAAAAAACTTAAAGTTGAAATGATGCTTGATTTACAGCAACTAAAATTCTAAGCAACTGATCAGTGAACAGAGCCTTAGGGCAGAGTTCAAAGGAGAAGTAGCGGTGACAAGTGGGGCTTCAAGCCGCTTGAAGGGGGTGACTGAGGAAGTTCAGGCGGCTCTCTGGTCACAGGGCAGCCCAGTGTTCCTCAGCTCTGCTTACAGCAACACTGGCTCAGCGTGGATCTGACATATCACTGGACAAAAAATGGCTCATTCAGAACTTCCTGCTGTTGGTAACCACTCAGAGTAGATTAGCTTCTTTGCTCTAACGGGATTCCTGCTCTTAGTACAATTCCATCTTATTTTGGACTGACCCCTTCCTAAGGCTCTTCATGTGAAGAGGAAGATTAAAGCTTCATGATCAAAAGCATTCCATATTTTAAAGATCTATGCAAATAATCACAACCTTCGTGCCTAGTGTCTCTCACTAGCAAGGGAGAGAGTCCTTCTCTTATTATGAGCACAATAAAGAAGGATAAAACAGGCTGTCCAAGCTCATCCTTTTTATAGTCTCAGCAGAGGCCTTTTGCTATTTCAGTTGGTTCTAAAAAGGGGAGTTTTCATGATGAAAACTCTGAGGGAAGCTTGAGGAGCTGTAGCAGCCAAGCGCATCTGTTCCCACATGAAATCTGTTCCCATCCTGTAAAGAAGCTGTTTACTTTCCAGTTTCTCTCAAGATCTCTGTACCAACCGGTAGGTGGATGCGACTTCCTGTCTGCAGGATTGTACACGGTTGATGGAAAATTCTCGGAGAGTACAGAGCCTCCGTGGAGGCCTGACTGCCTTTCAGTGACCCTCCATAATCAAGAGGGGAGTTCCTCTTATGGGCTGGTCGCTGAGTAATCTGCCAAGCGAGGGAAGCTCTGCAGCTGGTCACCAAGGCTTTTCTTTGGCAATTACTTTCTAATGTCTCAATGGTCCTCAGGGCACATTTCTGGACCTGATGCTAAGAGTCCCCTCACACCAGTCCATTTTCTTCTGTTGATTCCATAAAATGGTCTCTCAAGGGATGATTTGTGATACTACAAGTAGGTCTATCCTTGCAATTTCACTCCACAATTTTTAAAACGGTCAGGGAAGGGACACCTGATGGGCTTCTGGGTTGCCTCATTCATTCATTGATTCATTCACTCATTGATTCATGAGCCCCCATTACACACTGATGTCTGGGAAAAGCTACTGAAGAAATAGAAGGCCTGTGCTCTGTCCCACCAAAGTCAATATGCCTCTGACATGGAAAAGGACAAAGACATTTTTTAGAAGAGCAATAATAACGATGATGGTGGGGGCTTCTTACTTCACCTGAACTGTCTTTCCCCTTTACCTTGCTCTGATGGGCTGAGATCCTAGTCTGGGTCCAAGAGCACTACCATTTCCAGGAGAGTTCTTTCTGGCTAACGCTGGGGATATAGAAGTTGTTCTTTGAGGCACCTGAAAGAAAAGCAGAATTCAGAGATATTTTCCATAAAATAGCTTCCACAAGTGATTGCCTGAAAAAAGATTTGCCAGGAGTTACAGCAATGATGAGAAACAGGGAAGAAACATCTTTCATTTCTGAATGATTGAACTCCCTAAATAAAATCAAACAGAAGGCACTGAGGCATATTCAGCAACCATTAAGGAATATGGTCCTGAATTTTAAAACCAAATTTAAAACCAGATCATGCTCATTATTTTCGTTCATTGAGCTCCCCTTTTTTGTGCGCAAGAGTGGTGGATGCCAGAAATTTCTTTAGGGCACCATGAACTCCTCTGATCACTGGAAACTGCATCAGTTGAGAGCCATCCAGATAAATTGAGATTCATTTTAGGCTCACCTCACAACTAATAAACAGTAAGGTAATTATGAAATCTGATGAGAAACTAGGGTATCAGGCTAGAACTTGGGACATAAGCCACATGTCAATGAGCTCAGTGAAAGTATTGCAATAGATCTTGCATGTTTCCACTTCCTCTTCAACTTGCAATTACTAATTAAAAACAACATCCCAAACACAGCTTTGCAAGGTCAATCTGCAAAATTAATAAAAAACAGGATTAACACTGAAAATACTGGAAGGGTCTTCAAAAAGACTGAGTACCAATTGCACTGCGAGATACATTAGGAAAATGTATGTATCATTAATTAAACTGGCAAAGAACTAAGGTAGAATTCAAGTGTGCCTTCTTTTATGAAACATTTCTTAATGAAATCAAATATGGTAACTGTATTTAAGGAGTCCAACCTGAGGAGAGAGTAGAGAGAAAACCTACTTAACTTACTTTATGAAAGTGACCAGGAAATGAAAATGTTGATGTCCCATGACAGCTAATTGGGTTAGACATTCATCAGGTACTTCAGGGTTTTAAAAAAAAAATATATTTTATTGATATTTTACAAAGAGGAGGAAGGGAGAGAGATAGAGAGCTAGAAATGTCAATGAGAGAGAAACATCGACCAGCTGCCTCCTGCACACACCCTACTGCGGATGTGCCCGCAACCAATCTACATGCCCTTGACCGGAATCGAAACTGGGACCTTTCAGTCTGCAAACCGACTCTCCACCACTGAGCCAAACCAGTTTTGGCAGGTACTTCAGTTTTTCTTCATTTTTTTTTTGGAGGCGGGGAGGGTCTCTATTAGTGTTTTGTACTAGATATTTTAAAAAATGTACCCTATATTAAGATTATCAATACATTAAATGTCATTGACATTAAAAGAAATTTTGTTGGTTATTAGAATATATTTTAAGATAAAGACCTAGAAAGACGAGCCAGTGACATGAAGCAAAATGACCAAATCAGTGCTCCCACCTGCTCAAATTAAACATCACTTCTACTGTCTTACTTTATTGTTTTTGTGAGCTTAAATAGGTGTAGAGAAGAAAGAGTCTAATGAACAATTAAAACCTGAAATGTTTGTATTGATCTAAATTTTTCTTCCAGAGTTTACAAACATGTGCCTGCACGCTTTCAGAGAGTGGACTGATAACCTCCATTACCATTTTCCCCAGATCTTGTGTCTGCTCCTCCATCCGTTCTCCATATTGAACTTGGCTCCCACAAGAACCTTTTTGTATGGCATCTCTGCTTCCACAAGAGAACACCACTACTTATTTCCAAAACAATGGATATCTTCTTATAATGTCCTTATGAGGAAAAAGGTTTGGAAATCATGTGGTGTTATCTATTTTTATTATTGTTTTTTTTTTTTTTTCTGGAATCAATGGCATTGGTCACTGGAAATTTTGCAATATCCCAATTGTCATAGCTCTTATGCTGAGTTCAGAAGGAAGGGGAATCCTGAACCAGAGAGAATCTGATGCAAAATATTTCTCCACTATTTTTTAAATATTTCCAGGTTCTCTTCAGTGAGATGCATGGTCACGTGGGCAATTTTTGGAATGAGTAATGACTTTTGTAGGCAAAAGCAAAACAAAAGAAACCAAAGCCAGGACTGTGCAGTGTGGGGTGATGGTCATTTTACCCTAGAGTTTTATTCTCAGTAATATGTTAAACTTGGAATTAAATGCTGACCTGGCCTGCAAGAAGCTTTCCATAAATGCGACTAACAAAAATATTATAGGAGCAATAATATTTTCAGAATACCTGAAATCTGGTTTCACTTTGTATTGTTAAAAATAGGAGTAAATGAATTTTCTACTTTTTATCTGTAAATCTTTAATTTGTCCAAATAGATTTGGTCACCGATAAAAATATCCATTATTATTCTCTTAATGTGGATAGTAAAACAGTAGTTTGAATTGTTTGGGGTTGAAAGTTCTAATTCTGGATAGAGGATATATACTTCCAAGTCATCTGATCAACAAGAGCCTCTGTCTCTTTGGGGAAAACAGAGGTCAGAAATGATAAACGACAATCCAATTTTTAGCTTGGGAATCAGGAGGGACAAAAACAGACATGACAAGGGACAGTGCTTTGGCATAATGTCCATTACTATGAAAGGTCTGGAATAGGGGTAATCATCACCATCAACGATGATGATGATGATGATGATGATGGTGATGGCAATGAGAACACCCCAGTGATGTTACCTTTGGTGGAATGTCTTCTTCCTGTCGTAACCAAGAGCTTCTGTCAAACTTCTCAATGCGAGTGGGGAGAGGAGGGTTTTCCGAGGTGGGATCCGAGTTCTGGCGTGGCATCTCAACGCGGTGCGAGGTCACATTCAGAGCCTCCTGAAACCCGGAGAGGCCCTTGGTGGGCTGCTCGTGCACTGACTGGGAGGCGGTCAAGGCAGGTCCCTGGGACTTTACAGCTACCAGATGTGGGATCTAAGCATCAAACCAACATCAGAGCAGGATTATTAGAAGAAAGAACAGATCAGCTAATAAGTATCTCACTTAGTGATAGAGAAAATAAAGTTGTAGGGCACAAGGACTGGTGTACATAGAGCCCAATCACAGCTACCTACAGCACACTTTTAAAAGCTCTTCAAAATTTTCCACTTAGAGTTCTGTGTAGGGCTGAACCATGGTTCCCGGCCAAAAGTTAAGTGATTTACTTGCTAAGAAGTCAGTGAAATAAGTGGGATGATACTAACATTAACAATTTTAAGTGAACATTTATTGACCAGCAATACATTTATAAGTACTCCTCTTCTAATATTGGAAACAGCATTCTTGAAACCTCTGACCTTGATTTTACAGAGTACTCTTGTGCTGTGAAACAAGAATTGCCATGGATAGCTTACTTCTTGGGAACTCACTAAGTCCACCATGAGGTTGACACAGTTATTTCCTCCATTTTACATGAGAGAATGAAAGGCATAGATAGACAGGTTAAGTAACAGCCTAGATTTCACAGCTAATAGGTACCAGAGCCTGGATTATAATCCATACATCCTCTCATGTAACACTCGACTGCGAAGCTCTCCTGCTTTGTGATGAACTGGCTCTTCCCACCTATAATATTATATACATCTTAACTCCAGGACATTTCTTCTAGAGTTATCTCACAATTGGACATGTGCCAATATTTTTCATGCAGGAAAGACATGCAGTCTTTGGGTTTAATCTGGCTCTGTAGGACAAATCATTAAAATCTAGATTTCTGAGCATCCTTTGCTGTTAGCACTGCTCACAACTTCTTTGTTAATGACATGTAACCTTGTCTCCTCTTCCCACATGAAGGCAAGCTCCCTGGAGAAAGGAGCCACATCAACATTGTATCTCTGAGTCTAGCACTATGCCTGGCATGTGGAAGGTCAATAAATCCTGGTTGGGGAAACACCTAGAATGTGTTCTAAATTAAAGTGCATATCTGGTTTGGACAGGGGACCTATCACATCCTCTTTGGTCTGAAATCTCAGTGTCTGGACTGCTGGGGGGCATTTCTCCAGCCCTCTCCATAGCTTAGCCCCATTCTTCTTGCTCTGGAGGTCTTATCCTGGGGCAGTTATGCCTCAGCCTTTTCATACCCTCTTTAAGCTAAAATTTGGAATGTTATTATAGTTCAAAGAAAATCCTCAAAGCCTAGCTCAGCTGAATGTTATGCTTCCAGCAGAATAAAGCTGTAACCAAATATATATTAATATTAAATTTCACTAGGTAATAATATTACAACAAAGTATATTTTAAAGATATGTAGCACAAAACACAAACCTACTTAAAAGCATTGAAGAAATAACAATAATCAAAATTTCTGGAAAATGCTAATCCAATTAGCTGTTATAGGGTATTTATCTATATTTTCAATATATTTTTGTTGATTTCAGAGAGGAAAGGAGATAGAAACATTAATGATGGGAGAGACTCATTGATTGGCTGCCTCCTGCATGCCCCACACTGGGGATCGAGCCTGAACTTCCTGCTGAGCTTTGCCGACTGGGAGATAGATATCTATATTTTCATTTCCTAGTCACATGAAGTTTCATAAAATTTTCCTCTACTCTCCCCTTTACAGAGCAAAAGTACCCTAAAAGATCAAAGTTTGGGGTTTTGAAAGAGGGTCTGTGCGCTAAAAAAAGAAGTTCCTATAAAAAAATGCATCCTATGAAAAGTCAGGCATGGAAGAATTATATGCAAATTAAAACAACCAAGGGCAGGATATGCTTAGCTGGCTGGTACCAAAAAACCTCAGGCCTCATATGCAAAAAGGAAACTTAAAAACAAGAATCCTTGATTTTAGCACTACTCTTTTAAACTGTAGTTCAAATAGCATTTCAAAGGTGACCTTAAAATATTTATGCCATTGTTAATACAGGTGGATGCCTGGAAGGAACTGAAGACATTTGGGTGAAAGCAGCTGCATTACCTTTATTTTTCATGAAATTGTATGCTTTATTTCACTTCATATTTTATTTTGTTTGGCAATATATAATTTTAAAAGTCCTCTAAAATGTCCAGAAACTTCCTCTGTTTCTAAAAGTGGCGTAACCTCTTTTCTTTTCCAGCTAGCTTAAGACAGAGGTTCTCAAACTCTACAGAGCATCAGATCACCTGTGGGCTTGTTAACCCACAGGCTGCCACAGCCATTCCAGGTGTTGCTCAGTGGGTCTGAGATGAGCCTGAGAATCTGCATTTCTACCAAGTTCTGGGGTAACGTTGATGCTGCTGGTCCTGTGACCACACTTTTAGGAGACCCACGGCTATCCAGGCCCATCTAATTTTTCCAGCTTCCAAATTGCACCCAAATCCCAAGGAACAAGAGATAATATAATAGTTTACATATCAAAGGTCCATTTGAATTTTATTTTGGTAATTAAAACTAAAAAAGATGTTTGTTCCCACCTCACAGAAACTTCTACGGTTCTCCAGGGAGGCCAATTTACCATGTGACTTCCTTTGTGGTGGGCTCAAAGTTAAGGAGATGCTTTTCTCTTTCTCACCCCTCCATCTACCCTTCAAATTTAGTGTAGCCTCTTAAGTGGCTATAGATTGTATATGTAGATTGTATATTGTATATCACTGGCCCGATGCCTGAATCCAGTTACAATCCCCTGAGCTTTTAGTAGATTTACTTGTCTCCCTATTGAAATGTCCAATGGAACAAAGGAGAGGATGTACCTGTGGATCAACTGGTCTGAGCATAGGGGGGGTCCGAGCAGGCTGAACCCCACTGATACTGAAGGACTCCGACCTTGGGGGCAGGTTGGGATCAGATATCCTGTTGGCAACCTTGTGAGGCATGGCAGGTGAACTCTGCCGGTTAAGCCTGGTCCGTTCTTCTACCTAGAAACAAACGAACAAACAAAAAAAGAGAGAGCGAGAGAGATTCAATGGACAGATGGATAGAAGCTGAATTACTTCCTATGAAGGATTTGCTGAAGTCATTTGAATAGCCATTTTTCTGTCCTTCTGATCAACTTATTTTCAAGGAGCCATACTCTCCATGTCTGTTCTGCACCAAGAATGTATGAAAAATCTCTTTTCTGTTAGAATAAACAGCATCACAAAAAACATAGGACACTTAGGCCATCACCTTTCCCTTATTCATTATCTTGTGCTATTTCAGTTAGCTGGGAATTTGGGACCTGCTTAAGAGTTCATCTTGCATTGACTGAGATATTATCTTGCTGACTGGTCACAAAGCCGAGGGGTCAGGGAGGGAGACGAGGGGAACTGTGACATACATTAAGCTTGCTTGGGAAAACAGAAAATGGCTCTGAGCATTGCCACTGCTACGTATATGCCCCAAATACTTGAAAACAAGAACTCAGATACTTGTACACCCATATTCACAATCACCAAAAGGTGGACAACCCAAGTGTTCATGGGCTGGTGAACGGATAAACAAAATGTAATATTATCGTCATAAACAAGAAAGTAGTGCTGATACCGGCCACGACCTAGATGAAAGCATTATACTAACTGAAAGAAGTCAGACACAAAAGGTAAAGAATTCTGTTTAAATGAAATATCCAGACCAAGTAAATCCAGAGAGACAGAACACAGATTCGTGGATGTCAGAAGCTGTCAGGAGGGGGAAGGGGAGTGACTGCTTTAGTTGTCTCAGTCTGTGCCATCCTGAAATTTGTGGCATAAAGAATCACTTAATACACTTTGCAAATGATGCCAGAATGGGTCCAGTGTGATAAAATTTCCCTGGATTATAGTTTGTCCAAAGAGAATCTGTGAGAGGGGAGTAGCAGGAGGCATCTGGCTACTCACTTAGAAGAAAACCTTATAAGACATTTCAGAAAATGATGCAGCCCATTGCACCAAAGAGGCAACATAAATTATTAAAAGAAAGGTTAAATCAAACATCCTAATACCAGCTTAAGATGGACAGAGGAGAAGCTGAGCAGTGTATCCAGAAGCAGGCCGTTCTGATTATTTTGATACTAGGCCAGCCAACACCTGTCTCCTGATTCATTATATCTCATGTCTACAACCTGAATGAAAGAGAGAGATATGTGAGACAAAAGAAGAAAGTGTCTTCCCCCCAAATAAGGACATATGTGACTGAAAATTGGGGTACAATAAAGATATGTTTCAATTTGCCTTACACAATAATAATAAAAAAATCTACTAGCTGAAACTCTGCTCCAATCTCATGTTGCCAAGAAGACATAAAATACCAAAAGTACCACACACACACACACACACACACACACAAAAGTCTCTTAGTAGCATCAAGGTGCCAGACCATATCAAAAAAAGAAATCTATTTCAAAGAATTTTATAGTTGAAGGGCTTATCTATGAATATGGAGAACAAGATTAGGAGAGACTCATCAATTACATTATAAAAGCATTTTTTTTCTTATTAAAAGAATCATTTTAACATAAAAACTAAAATAATTATGGAGACTTGAATCACCTTTGCAGAAATGCTATACTACTTATTATAGCATTATAGAGAAAAAGAAAAAAATAACTGTGGTCTCAGAAATAAAATTTTGTTCCAGTCAGGGCTATGTTGTCCATTGGGTACTATAGGAGTGATGTCTAAGGCCTCTGAGATGTATAAAAGCTCACAAATATAGAAGACCTGCAAATAAATTCATTGATTACACGAACTCAAAAATTTTTTCAAAAGAAATGAAAATATACTAAGAAACACATTATATCAATGTCAATTGTTAAATTGCTCTGTATACTTGAAAACAATTTATAGGTTACAATCTCTCACTTAGCAATAATGAATATTTGCTGAGAGAATTTCAAAACAAAATTATAGAAGCAATTTTAAAAATGTTGACAGCAAATATATATTTATTATGTCATATGGGTGCATTTAAATAATATTTTATATGATGTAGGTCTGCGGGATCTATGAAGGTTTTAGAAGACTTTACTTAAGAGATGATATGTTGTGAATTGAACACAATCTTATGGAAATTCCTATTTATTCCAACTGAACAAAAACAGTTTGAATTTTTGTCGTTACAGGCAATACTGGAGAAGGGGACAAGTCAACAAATAATTTTTAAGTGCTCACTAGATACTTTGATCCTGTACTTGCTAGTCACATAAAGAATTGAGCCATTTTGTCCTTTGGCAAAACCACATGGGCAGGGGGTTACAGAGTAGATTGGGAATATCACTTATGAGGAATCTTTGAAGACAGGGAAGACTCATTCATATGAAATGCTAAAATTGCAGTGTTGTCTACAGATAAGGGCCTGACCTATTTTTCTCTCTAAAAATAAATAAGAGATGCCAGAGAAAAATATTGGTCCTCATATGAATAAACACATAACTTAAAAAAAGTGAGGGAAATCTTAAGCAGAGATAGGAAATGCATCTATCATTGAGGAAGCAGGGGACAAGATATGAGACAAATGTGTAAACTGCTCATGTGAAATCTCAACTAAACACAACAAAGGCAACACATATTCCTTGTAGATGACAATGGCCTTGGAAACAAAATATAAATATATTCAATATTATATTCAAATTGCATCTGCACAGTGCCTGTACTTTCAATGGCACATTCAGATGATTGCCCACAGGCAGGCAGTCTAGATGGGGTGCTGGGACTCAAGAAGGCTACAAGACCTGTCCCAGGTCACACAGCAAGGAAGTAGAAGAACTTGAACTCAAACTCCTTATTGCTTCCTCCTAGGACTCTCTCAAGCAAAATCATGAGAAAGACAAGCAAAGACTGAGAAAAGGTGGGAGCAGAATTATAAACTCCGAAATGGCAATTTAGGAACCTCATATGTAAAATAATTCAAATAAAGAAAACAACACATCAGTGTGGAGTAGAGAAAACCAAATGGAGAATGGAGTTCTTATCAGGATTTCAAAGTCTAATGAGCTGATGGAACATAAAAGATATTCTGGTTCCAGACCAGTATTGTTCAGTGGTTTGCATGTTGACCCAGGAGATCATGGTTCGATTTCTGGTCAGGGCACTTGCCCAGATTGCGGGCTCAATCCCTGGTGGGGGGTATGCAGGAGGCAGCCAATCGATGTTTCTCTCTCATTTATGCTTCTATCTCTCTATCCCTCTCCCTTCCTCTCTCTAAAAATCAATAAAAATATATTTCTTTTTAAAAAAGAGACATTCTGGCCAATTATTTGCCACATAAAACCATGGACAGATGACTGGCATACATCACAGAGAGAGAACATGAAAGAGTGTTAAAAATATTAAAATACAATCTCATGTTGGTAGAGCATTCTGTCACTGCTGTGTATTGGTGCAAAAAGAGAGAGGGGCGGGGCGGGGAAGTGTGGGGTGTGGTAGAAAGGCACACACAGTTACTGCCAGGACCAGATAATCATATACAATTTTAAGGAAAGTAATCTGTTCTATTATAAGAAAAAGGAAACTTCATCATTCAAAAAGTGACAGTGAGAAAAAAAAAGACTTTCACATTTTGCTGATATTTAACAGAATATCTCATTGATGTTTTCACAGAACTAATCTGATTTCCATCCCAATCCAGAAATAGCAAAGAATTTTAAAGGGGTGAAACTAATCCTCTTCCTTTTAATAAAGATATTAATATTTCTTTCTGCCTGAGATCTGAAAATCTAAGTGAATGTGACATTCAGGACAGATTGACATTCAGCAAAAGGAGAGAGGAAAGAGCTCAACAAGATTTGCAAATGATCAAGTATTTTCATTTGCTCTTACTGCATCCATCAAACTGATGAGAAAGGTAATGAGAAATGTGATGATGACTATGTTTCACAAGATGAACAACAAAAAAACACAAAGGAAGAAGCATTATCACAACATAACATTGCAAGGACAAAATGTGGATTTAGAATAAGGAAGAAAAGTAAGTGGGTGGAAAAGTAATCAAAGAAGGAAAACCATCTTTATAGGAATGTAGTTGAGCTAGAAAATGAACACTGGAACAAATCGTAGAGGAGGCTGCATGGGTAGAAGATGACTGGGTGGCATCCTCAATGGCCCATGGGGCAAAAAGCCCAGATCTAGTATCATAGGAGACCATGGCATGGGTACAGCTACCTACTCCTTCCTGATGAGGATATTTTAAAATTTATATCCTGGCAGAGGATACATTTGAAAAAGGAAAATGGTACCTTTTATTCTACCTTCAAAAGAGAGTTTAACCCAGGCTCTTTTTATCAGTTGATAATTTATATAGCGCTGAGCTTGAGAGTCTGTCCATATCTAAAGTATTGGAATGTATGTTACTGTTTGGCTACTTTGAGCCCCACCTATCTTCCTACTACAAGAAAAGAGATCTGTATATAATGCTCTAAAAGAAAAGTTCATACATTGCTCGTGAGAAACATGAAAGGTTAAGATGATAAGAATCCTCACTCATTTTGATTCCTATTTTAAGAAATAAGTGCTAAAATAACGATGAATCAAAACTACACAATCATTTGTTGTTATTTTTACACCAGTTGCTCCAACCCCAAATTTAGCACTTGTCACTCATTTTATCATCTAAATGCTTCATCTTTCTTCTAAAATATGAACACCTACTTTAAAATTTGGAAACTGTTTCATGAATAGATGGATGGTTAGTTGAAAGCTGGATTATGCTAATCACACCCAGGAGGATAGGTCTAAATATGCAATCCCCAAAGAATGCTCTTACATGGCTAGAAGTGCATGGAGTTCAAAGGAACCGCACCAGCTGCTAGGGCCGCCAGGGACCTTGGAAGATGTCACCCCCAGTGGTGATGGCCCCGACTTTTGATGGCCAGGGAACTGCACATCTGGAGTGCTTGATGACACGGCCATGTTGTTTGCATACCCAACTGCTATGCCCCTTTTACTGCCAGGAACCTGGCCAGGAAGCACAGGGAATCAGGAGTCCTAGAAAACTGCTCTGGTGACATCTGCAAAGATTTGTCCTCAGGAATGCCTTGGCTTCTGAAAGCTCAGGAACTGTGAACTACTTCTGAATAGAGAGGACAGGCCAGGACATTTAAAGATGAGGACTGATAGTAACTAGAAAACAATGAAGTAAAAATGGTTAAGTTCAAATCAGAACATGCTGGGTAGAGGCAGAAAGAAGGAAGTGGAAACTGCTCCAGGCTTTCCCCCCTTTTTTGGCACAGGGGAAAGAAGGAATTCTGGGGTGCTTAGCAAGGTAACAAAGTCTTCTCCAATGGGATCTGCAGGTGTCCTTATCTTAATCTTGTGTCTGGGAACACTGAAGGCCAAGTGCATGCATCCAGGAGAGGTCCTTTAGTGATGCAGCACTTCTTAGAGGAGGTAAGGAGCCTGTAAGAATGTATCAATTCATGGCCCTCTTGTATGGAGGTCCATATACGTCTCTAAGGCCCTCCTTAATTGCAGCAATAGACAACCGGGGACTTATCACTTTGGAGATGTTGGGAAAGGACACACAAAAGCCCTTAGATCCTAACTCTGTTGTTAGGCTACATCCTTGTGAGCAAGATCACTTTGGAGATATCATAATGGTCCTTGAAGCTTCTGGGGCTTCAGATGTTCTTCAAGACCAAGTTTAATAGGACAAGCTGGTTATTTTTCTCCCATGATGCTCAAACAGGTGTCTTGATCTGGAATCATTAATTTCTGCAAGTGCTACTGGCATTAGTTTAGTAGAGGTTAGTTTTTTTTAGTCTTCAGAAGACCTGCCATAATCAGAAGCTGTAAGTCTGGCTTAGCTGAAGGTTTCAACTTGGCATGCCAGAGAATGGTTTAGCAGTAGAAGGAGGTGGCACATCTCTGCCAGCCAGAATGCACATCACCTGTTGTTTAATAGCATAATGATTCTGCTTAGCTGAAAGAAGAGGGCGGTTATTAAGGAGTTGGCACTATCTGTGGGAGTAGGATCACGGAGTTAAATTATTGACCTAAGAGAAAGAGGCAGCTGTTACAGACATAGGCAAATGTAAATCATATTTACAGACTCAAAGGGAAAATGATTGAACATGTCCTTGATAGAAAATCAAATTATTTTCTCAACAAATTGAGTTAAGTTTGAAAAGAAAAAAGTATTTTTGTAAAAACAGTGCATAATCCTTACAAAGGACTTAAAGGAAAAAAAAAATCCTGTTGTTTCTTCCTCCCAGAAACAACTGTCATTAACATTAGGACAATGTCATTTCAAGCATTTTCTATACATACGTAAGAGAATAGAAAAATAAAAATAAATAAATAAATAGAGTCTTATGTAAGAAATGTGGTTCTGGTAATACTGTAGTCTAGATAACTTGAAATAAACTCTAACTATAAATACCTGAAGATACTAGAAAAAACTCAGAATAATGCCAACATCCCTTTAAATGAGGAGCTACATTCAGGAGGAAATAAAGGAGATCACTAGGTGCCACAAATAAGGACAGAACTGAAAACCAGGGTATTATGCAAACAAGGTGATACTGTGACTCCCTAGAAGAGTTGTTATTTTGTTTGCTTTATCTATTTGGTTTATCTATTTTTCTACCATCCCAACTGCTCTTAATGAGATTTTTAAAAATAGCTCACCACAAAGCCAAGTTCCTAAAATTTTTTTTATCATTGAGCAAAGAAAGGACCACTACTTTGGAAGTATTTGCAAAACAAATGATTTTACCTAGAATTCATTATATCCTGGGCCATATAATTCTATGGAAAACTCACTAAAATTCCTCATTCTTCAAACTCATTTGGACACCTACAAGGAAAATGATTTTTCTACTTCCTATTTTTGCTTACGAAAATTCACTGCATTTGAAAAGATAAAAAATAAATAAATTAGGTGACTTGCCATTTCTCTACAGAAATAATGTTATGGCTCTTCCAGAAGCTGTGTGCAGACATTACAATGAATCATTTTCTGGATTCATAGCACTAGTCGGACTCTCCACTTTTGCCGGATGAACTCATTATGGCCAATAGCCTGCCAACAGGGTGCTGTTCCACTTGCTTGCTCACTTACCTCCTTGGCCCATGCTGGTTTCTCACTAGGACTCATTCCCTCTTTGTAATGGTACAGCGGCTTCTTCTCCACAGGCCTCTGCTCCTGCCGTTGATGCTGAAGGGAAACCAAGTAGTCTCTCTCTTGCTTTAGCTGTCTCTGCAGTCTTTCCGCTTGTCTCTGTTCTTCCAATTGTTTGCGCTTATATTCCTGTCCAGGCCAGGAAAGAGCAGCAGAGAAAGGCCAAATCACCATACAGAAACCATTGGCCAGTACCAGCTAAGCATGCAACGGCATCAAAAGTGGTGCTAAGTAACAAAGGACCTCAATAATGACAGAATCACAGGGAGGATATCAGGATGTGCCACAGGGAAAAGCTACAGCTTTGGCTTAACATCTACACAGAATGTGGCATTTAATGAAAACACGATGGCTTTAATGGCAATCCCTACAGAACACTACCCACTGCAAAGCAACTTATCCTTGATGAGTTACCACCAAGAAAGTGGCAATAATGAGGACATTTGGATGGTCAGTACACAATCCCTATTAAGGACCATCCACTTCCTAATTGAGTAATTAAGCCAGTCAAGCACATACAACCAAGTACAAAACTGAAAGAGTGGCTAAAGACATTGCCTAAGCCATCATTTGTTTAGCAGAACTTAGATCAACAAAAGCCATCAGCAAACTTATTTGCAGGCTAAAAAATATAGTGCCACCAAATAAAAATTCAGTTAAAAAGAAAAGACATCAAGAAACTCATTTGGGGAGCACTGCAGTAATAATAAAAAGTACTTCAAGTGGAAGCTGCAGAATGTTCCCATCATGAGGGTAAAACTAATAGTCTGCAAATGAAATATGACTGCCGGGCTGGAAGAGGTGCATTTTTGCGTGATTGTGTTCTAACATGTTGCCCATGACCTTAAAAATCACTCTGCAATCAACACAGTCTCAAAAATAGTCTAAACTTATACTAAGGCTGTATTCATGCTAAAGTTTTACAGACGGACGGAATAACTAAAGAACACATAACAAATGTATTAAATGTTCTGGGCCTCGGGAAACTGGGTCAGGAAATGTAGGAAGTTTCCATGAGATTTTCGAGGTCCACAGGCTCGAAGGCTCTCCTCTTCTGGACTGGCACATTAGGAGGACACACGCACATACACACGTCACACACATACGATGAACACAGAGCAGGTCAGCTGGCTCTCGGCTTTCCCATTACCAGAAGTAGAGCTTGTTCATGCAGTAGCTGCTGCTGCAAGATCTCTAACTGTCTCTGCTCCTCCTCTAACTGACGCCTGATGTACTCCTGGAGAGGTGGGCAGCAGAGAATTCAGAGGAACACCAAGAGAGAGGGAGAGAGAGAGAGAAAAAAAAAAAGGAACAGGTAATTTCAAAGGTTGACAAGAGCTGCCAAGTAAAGTGTGAAAGGAAGGAGGGGGGAAAAAAAATACCCAGCCACCTCCACACCAAACAGGAAAAGTACACCGCACCCAAGCAGAAGCATTTCAAGGCAGTCAAAAGCACAAGCTGGCTGCCTGCCACCGCTGACGGACATGGCTGGGGCTGTTTGGTTTTAATAAGCCCAGCTACATGGTAAAGCTTTTCATGACAGTTTCCCTCTTTAGGGGCTACCTGCAATGAACAACGCTAGGAAGTGTGGGGGCTCCTGTGCAGGCAGCAGGGATACAATAATTGCTGAAGGCCATTGGTGTGCCGTCTTTGTACCGGAACCACCCTGCAGGGTGTTGCTGTGCTCTCAGAATGGGACTCTAACAAAGACACAGGGGGCTGCATCAATGGCTCAAAGTCCTGGCGACCAGAGATGGCCTGCACAGAAAGCTCTTCTGAAGCAACGAAAGAGTAAGACGTGGCTCGTGGATCACGCTTCAGTGCCACCTTCAATGTAGAAACCCAGGGCTGGGAGTCATCAGGTCAGGGGGCTGTGGCCTGGGTAGGAAGCAAGGCGGAATGAGTGGACATTGCCAGGGTTGTGCCTTTGACTTCTTGAATAGGTGAGAACAGCTGCTTGAGAAAGAATTAAAAGCCTGCTGACACTGAGCAGTCCTAGGAGAAGGTGACCCACGCCCCAGAGACAGCTGGTGCCTGAGTTCACCCCGGGGCCACCCCCGCTGACCTGCTCGTGCTCCGCGCGCCTCCGCTCCTCCTCCCGGCGCATCTGCTCCTCATAGTGCCGGCGCTGCTCCCGCTCCTGCTGCTTCCGCAGCTCCTTCTCGCGCCTTTGTTGCTGTGGGGCAGCAAGCAGACAGCCATGAAGGAACCGAACACAGTTGGGGGGTGTCGGGAAACCAGCAGGGAAAGCTGCGGAACCGCACGTGTGAGCTCTTAAGGAGAGATGTCTGCAGGCCCGGAGGCTCTTTCTCTCCAGTGTTATTAGGGGACCCGTTGGCGAGAATGAGGGAAGAAGTACCCTTGGCAGTGATAATGCAGCCTCTGCATGTACAGTACGGCATAGAGAACGTAGTCAGTAATAGTACGATAACCACAGGCACTAAAATAGTGAGAAAAACACTTTGTAAAGTATATGATTGTCCAACCCAAGCATGTCAAACTCAAAGGTCAAATAAACAAGGTTTAAATTTATGTGGGCCGCAAAAAACAAAAAATAAAGGCTTCCATTTTCAAAGAAACGTGGGTTTATTTAGAAAGAGACAGCTGAATACAAAGGGCTGATATACATGAGTAATCATTAATGAGTACTCATTGTGGGCCGCAAGTTTGACATGCTTGGTCTAACCACTATGCTGAACACCTGACACCAATACAAAATATTGAAAGAAAGAAAGAAAAAAAAATAAAAAGAAAAATGAGGTGACAGAGAGCAATCCAGTGTCACACAGAGAGCAATTCGGTGTCACATAGACACCTGTTATTTACCATGCAAGTGGACTTTCTAGGTTTATGCATCTCTCCCGAGAAGTGCATGCTCCCAATTGATTGATGGGGGTTTTAAATCAGGGGTAGAAACACTGAGATATAACAAGCTACTCATTATATCTTATCAAACTGTTTATGAGGCTATCTAGGTTTTCAAGCACATTCACAACACTCATGTCATTTGGTCTTTTTAAAATAATATATATTTTTATTGATTTTAGAGAGTGTGTGTGTGTGTGTGTGTGAGAGAGAGAGAGAGAGAGAGAGAGAGAGAGAGAGAGAGAAACATCAATGATGAGAGAGAACCATTGATCAGCTGCCTCTTGCATACGCCCAATTGGGGATCACACCTGCAACCTGGGCAAGTGCCCTGACCGGGAATCAAACCATAACCTCCTGCTTCACAGGCTGATGCTCAACCACTGAGCCAGACCATCTGGGCTCATTCAGTCTTTTGGACACCATGTAGTGCAGACACTTCATACTACAGAAAGCAAAGACCAGAGAGGTAAAGCGACACATTTAAGGCTACACATTGATTAATGGCTGAGGGTACAAAAGAATGTACTGGCTCCCACTGTTTCTGGTACACCATGCTGCCTTTCTTTATTCCCTGGAGTACTCATTTTAAAGGATCAATTTCTAGTTCTCACTCAAGTAAGACGCTTTAGCTCAGGAACCACCATCATCTCATCCAATTACCATCCTTCTGACAGGGGACAGTGTGGTTAGCACTTCTCATGCTTTCTCTTATTTAATATTCACAAATATCTTCTGAGGCAGACATGACTATTATCCTCCGTTTTATATGACAAAAACCGAGACCCAGAGAGATTAAATAATTGTTTAAGGTCATGCCCACATTCAAGGTCAAACCAAGAAATCAAGTGTGATGGAGCTGGATTTCAAAGCCTGGAGCTGTACCTCCAATCTGAGCTCAAGCATATACAAAAGGTGAAGAGGCAACAGGAGTGATAGAAAGATCACAGATTAATCAAGCTCTTCCTTACACTCTCGGGAAAGAGGAACATCTTAGGAATAGTCACAGGAGCCAATGTTTCTCAACGAGGAATAGTACTGTTCCAGCCACTGGAGCATTTGGAATGTGTGGGAAATGTGAGAGGTTTCTAGTTGTCCCAGTGACTGAGGGATGTGCCTGCCATTTAGCATGAGAGGCCAGGGATGCTGAAGATCCACAGTACACAGGATAGTCATACATTACACAGTTCTTTCCATGCCCCCTGCCACTCGTGTCTTTTTTGAGACATGCCACAGGCAGGCCCTTCCCTTTGTATCAGAGCCCAGTAATGGTGTTAGGATCTCTTCTTCCTCAAATACTCGGTTTGGAGGGGGCGTCTCAGGGGGTCCATTTCCTTGTAATATTCTCCACAACAATTCCCTGCCCAGCTGAGGAAGCATGAGTTACTCATAACAGAATGGATTGTGACTGTACCTCACGGACAAGCTAGCTCAGCACAGCCAGGGAAACAGCTTTTATAATAGTACAAAAGCTCTGTCACAGCCCCAGTGCCCACAGATCCTCAAAGCTCCAAAGAAGCCCAAAGCGAGGAGGCCTTTGTGATGTGGCTCCCGCCTGCGGTCCTCTGGGCTGCTGTCTTCCCATCACCTTGGAGGCTCCGGAGATGAGCTGCATGTTTTGAGGCTCAACGTCTATCATGTCCAGATCTACTGTTACTTGTCCACGTTAGATGGCAGGCAACGGGGAGCCACTGGTGAACTATGTGCAGTCCAATGCCATGATGAGACTTGCATTTTCAAGAGGCTTCTTAACAGCCAGGGGAGGGCGCAAGACTAGAAGCTAGAATGTAGTGTGAGTCATTCAACGGATGCAGGCAGGAAAAGAGAGGGCACTGATGAGCAAAGCCAAGGCAGTGGGAGAGTCCAGGTTCGTAACCCTTACAGACAGGGGAGATGCAGCCAAAAGGAAGAGAGTTGAAAACCTATCCAGATTTTCGGTTATTTTAACAGGAAAGGAGTGGATGGCAACTTGGAAGTAGAAATTGGAACTGGGCCAAAATAAAATAGGCAGTTAGGTGTTTATGAGGTGTGTGAGGGTGAGTGATGTTCTGGCCAAGGAGCATGGCAGATGGTGGGATAGTGAAGAAAAAGCGGGTTTAGGAAAGGGAATGAGGGGCACAGGGATGAGTCAGGTTCCAGACACACGATTATTGCCTTACAGAAAAAATAATACAGGGAGATGTGAGTAGAAAACATCATCCTGGGAACTGACTAAATAACTTGGATTTTGGACCCAAAAACAGAGGTATTTCCAACACACAACCTGGGCAAATCAATGCCAGCCCAGAGAATAAAAAATAATTATGTGTACAGATCTGGCTCCTGGCAGGAAACAGCTCTAATCTAGCTAACATTTCAAGTTTTTTACCATTGGCCTCTTTCTTGAGGAAAATATTAATCAAGCCTTGGGAAGATTGAGCTGATTTTTATGTGAAGGATTTGTACATTTTTAACCTTTTTGCAAGGAATCAATACTCTTTTATAATCACACGCCACTCAGGTCCCTGCCCAAGGTGTGCACAGTATTGATTGCAATTGAAGGGGGTGTGGGCTTCCCAAGTACTCTGTAGTTTCTGAGAAAGACACTCAAAAGTGGCTCATAATTAATACTGATCTCACTCAGATCAGCTGCTGCTAACTCAGGCGGGCATCTGCCAGGGCTTTGGTTCCTGTGGCGTGTCTGGAAAAATAAACCACTTCCCCAACCTTCTGAGGGCACCTTGCCAATTTCTAGCCACTGTGTCTCCATGTTAATGCCTTTCCAGGAAAAAAAAAAAAAAAAAAAAAAAGCCAAACATTTGCTCTCTCTCTTCCTGGGCGTTGGCGGTTGGAAGGGACACACCAAAATGTGTAAGAGAAAGACCAAGTCCTGGGCCTCAAGCAGACACCTTTACGAAGCTCTGACGACTCTTTCTGGAAGCAGCTCTTGAGGCTCGATCCTGGTGGACCCCCAGCCCCTCCCATAGGGCCCGGCACCTAGAAGGTGCACAGAGGGTTTTGTTGAACTGAACTGAGTAAAAAGTTTGGGGCAAAAGAAGGCAATTATCCTCCAATATTTCTGTGGCAGTATGTCCCTTCCTATTAGTGCTTACAGCTTACACCACATTGTACCTCATATTATGGTTATCTGTGTATGCCTTACCCACTCTCAATCTAGGTTAAAAGCTCTTTGTGGACAGGGTTTCTGTTCCACTCCAGTTTTTCTATATCCGATATAGGGCTGCATATCTCTGGTACTTGTTGCATTGAATACTGTTGATTGGGCAGCAAGAAAAGGAGAGAAAACCATGCAGAGCCACCCTTCTAAGACCTCTGGTCCTTTTATGTGGAGCACAGACAAGACCTAAGAATTTTTTTTTTTTTTAATAGAGACCTACCTACAGTTTCCACTGGCATAGTATTTATTGGCTACTTTAGAGAAAGGCAGAAGAAAAATAAAATAAGGGACTAAACATGTAGCTAGAAGGAGTGGAAAGAGGGAAAATAGTATTCTGAATTTCGTTCAGATTACACATAAAGATGTCAGTGGTTCTGCTGTCAAAAAAAAAAAAAGGCTTAAACCAGTGGTAAGCAAACTCATTAGTTAACAGAGCCAAATATCAACAGTACAACGATTGAAATTTCTTTTGAGAGCCATTTTTTTAAAAACTTAAACTTCTTCTAATGCCACTTCTTCAAAATAGACTCGCCCAGGCTGTGGTATTTTGTGGAAGAGCCACACTCAAGGGGCCAAAGAGCCGCAGTTTGCCGACCACGGGTTTCAACCAACTCCTCTAACATTCGTGGCAGATGTCCCACCTAGAAGGACCTGCCTGCAAGTATATTTTCATCCATCTCTTGTTAGAGGCACCTCCAACAGTTACATCACTTAAAATTAGATATGCAGTGGGTTCTTATAAGTTTCCTAGTTTGTTTGTTTTATCCCTGGTTGGGAGATAACTGATAATACTCACTCCAGGTTAAAATCATTGTAGCCTTGCCTGATAGAATAGGTCACCCGGGGCTTCTTGTTTTCCTTGTATTCTGTGGAGGTTCCCAAAGAATGATTTTTCTTTAATAACAGTCTGATCCTCTCCATGGGTGTTCCCCCTCCAGCCACCTTCTGGAGGAGGTTGTGTGGCTGCACATTCAAGTATATGAATCCATAAATACTTTTTAATGAGAAAGATAATCCTGCACCATGCTCTGGGGACCCTCAAAAGTTATACACTGATCCCAAGTTGACTATGTAGAATTTTAGGCCTTTAAATTTTGGCAAAAGAATACCCCCTTAATCCTTAAATATTCAATTCATGTTAAAATTATAAGAAA